GGGCGCGGCTCGGTGGTGCTCTTACCAGGGCAGGTGGGTAGAGTGCCACAAGTGGTGGGGCAGGGCCGAGGCGCGTTGGCAGGGACGGGGCCGCTACAGGGTGGCAGAGGAGCGCCGCTCCGCTCTGCAGGGCAGGGCTGGGACAGCGGCGGCGGTCCCTGCTGTCGACGGCGACGGCAGCTGCAGGCGGCGGCTGCGGCGGCTGCGGCCCCTGCTGTGGCGGCTGCGGCTGCTGCCGTCGGCGGCTGCTGCTGCTGTAGGCTGCTGCGGCGGATGCGGCCCCGGCTGTGGCGGCGGCGGCTGCCTGCTGTCGGTGGCACCGGCGGTGGCGGCTCCCGCTGCTGGAGCGGTGTTGGCTGCTGCTGCAGGGACGGCGACGGCGGGGCGGCAGGTCCGTGAGGGAGCCGAGAAGGGGCCGCGGAGGAGCCGAGAAGGGGCCGCCAAGGGCGGTGAAGGGGCCACGAAGGGCCGTGAAGGGGCCACGAAGGACGGCGACGGGGCCGCGAAGGGGCCGTGAGGGGCCGCGAAGGGTGGCGACGGGGCCGAGAAGGGCCGCGAAGGGCGGCTACGGGGCCGAGAAGGGTGGCGACGGGGCCGCGAAGGGCGGCGACGGGGCCGAGACGGGCGGCGACGGGGTCGCGAAGGGCGGCGACGGGGCCGAGAAGGGGCCGCGAGGGGCCTCGAAGGGCGGCGACGGGGCCGCGAAGGGCGGCGACGGGGCCGCGGAGGGCGGCGACGGGGCCGCGAAGGGGCCGCGAGGGGCCACGAAGGGGCCGCGAGGGGCCTCAAGGGGCCGCGAAGGGCCGTGAAAGGGGCCGTGAGGGGCCGAGAGAGGGTCCGCTACAGACCGTAAGGGAGCGCGACGGGCCGCTAAGGGCAGGGGACGCGACGGGAGGGCAGGCACACGGGGCGCGACTCGGGCAGGGGCAAAGCGCGCTCCGGGCAGGAAAAAAAAAAGGTCGATTTTCGGTGGGCCCTAGGAAACGTTCCCACTAGGGAACCTGCTCTATACCATGGGAAAGAACGAGGAATGAATGCACTGGCAAACAGGTGGGTACAAGTAGGAAAACCTAAATGTGTTGTACCCCATATTGTCTACCCCACTACAGCCTACACAGACTATAGCATATAAGTTTGACAGTCACCTGCCGCCCGGACCTATCATACTCCGCAAGCTAGCTCGCCACCTACCTCAAGAAGCCTGAAACGGAACACCTGGCGGAGCTCGACCGCGCTCTTCACTACCTCATCAGCACCCCGACGATCGGCCTGACTTACCACAAGAATGCAACTACAACACCTAAGCTAAAGTCGAAGGTCAAAGGTCAGCGACCTTTGACTTGACAAGTACAGCGCGACAGCAAGGACACACAACTGACTCGCTACAGAGCAGTTGCCCGAGTCGTCACTGTATCGAACCGCAACAGCAACAGTAAAGTAGTTACAACTGTATTGTCAGAAGTAGTAGGAGTACGGCCTAGGCTTAGTAGCCTAGGCCACAGTAGGACTAGTAACGAGGAGCCAAGTACGAGCTAGGATTGTGTGCAGGAACAGAATTGAGAAGGAATGATTGAACTAGCAAGCAGCAGGATACAAATGGCAAACCCTAAGGGGCTGTACTCACTATAGAGTACCCCACTGCAGGCTACACAAACAACATATTCTGACACACCCCCATAGCCAAAGTGGGGTGTAATCAGCACAATGAGCAGTCATAGCAATAGTTCATAATTATCAGCAAAGCTAGAGGCTATCACAGAGGGCAAGTGAGGAGGAGGAGGGACTATGAAAGGAGAGAAGATGGGAGGCGACGACTGAAGCTGCAGAACACGGGCAACAGAAGCGGCTGACACAGTGGCGGCTGACACAGTGGCTACCGAGACAGAGCGCCCCGGAATACTGGAGTAACTGGCTCTGCGGCTACGACGAGCGGCAGAAGCAACGGACCCACGGGCGACTGGTGCAGCAGGCTCTCAGTGGCTACCGAGACAGTGCGTCCCGGAATACAGGAGTAACAGGCTCTGCGGCTGCGACGAGCGGCAGGAGCAACGGACCCACGGGCAACAGGTGCAGCAGGCTCTCTGAGCTACCAGGACAGTGCGCCCCGGACTACAGGTGCTGCGGACGACAAGACAGCAGCCTCCACTCAACCTCCCCCAACAGTCCCACACCCCTCTCACACACCCCCTGCTTCACCCCTAGCTCCACTCCCACATCACCCCCCTAGTGCCACTCCCCACGACTCCCACACCTCCACCCCCCTCAGCGGCAGCTGCAGCAGTGGGAGACGAAAAAGGAGGAGGGGAGAACCCACACCTCTCACCCCCATGCTCGCCACCCCACACCCCAGCCACCGCGGAACGCACGGTGGAATGGGAGCAATGGGCAGCACCGGGGGGGGGGGGGGGGGGGGGGGGGGGGGACGGGGCGGGCTTCTGCAGAGGCGGCTCGCGCGGGTCCTGGGGCGGCTGCTGCAGGTGCGGGCTGCTCCAGGGGCGGCTGCTGCAGGTGCGGGCTGCTCCAGGGGCGGCTGCTGCAGGTGCGGGCTGCTCCAGGGGCGGCTGCTGCAGTGGCGGGCGGCTCCAGGGGCTGCTGCTGCAGTGGCGGGCGGCTCCAGGGGCGGCCGCCGCAGTTGAAAGGCAGAAGGGGGGGGGGGGGGGGGAAACGCACGGCCCCCAAGGCGCCCCGAGGGGCGACGAGAAGGGAGCCGCGCGGCCCCCCCCCCCGGGGCGCCGCGACGGGCACCAGGGAGGGCGCCGCGACGAGCCCCCAGAGCCGCCTCGACGGGCGACGGGGAGGGTGCCGCGCGGGCCCCCCGAAGTCGCCTCGACGGGCGACGGGGAGGGCGCCGCGCGGGCCCCCCGAAGTCGCCTCGACGGGCGACGGGGAGGGCCGCGCACGGCCCCCGAAGTCGCCTCGACGGGCGACGGGAGGGGACCGCGCGCGGCCCCCGTGGTCGCCACGACGGGCGACTGGTGGGGAGGCCGCGCGGGCCCCCAAGGTCGCCTCGACGGGCGACGGGAGGGGAGGCCGCGCGGGTCCCCGAGGTCGCCTCGACGGGCGACGGGAGGGGAGGCCGCGCGGGTCCCCGAGAGCGCCTCGACGGGCGCTTCGACGGGAGGGGACCGCGGAGGCCCCCCCAAGGGCACCACGACGGGCGCCACGGAAGGGAAAACCGCCAGGCGCCCCGAGCGCGCGGCGGGCAGAAATTAGGGTTTCGCCGCCGCGCACCACGGGGCGCGCGGCGGACAGTACGGCAGCGGAAGCGGGTGGTGGGCCCATACACAGGAAGGCGGCAGACATGCTGCCCTCTGATACCATGTCAGAAGTAGTAGGAGTACGGCCTAGGCTTAGTAGCCTAGGCCACAGTAGGACTAGTAACGAGGAGCCAAGTACGAGCTAGGATTGTGTGCAGGAACAGAATTGAGAAGGAATGATTGAACTAGCAAGCAGCAGGATACAAATAGCAAACCCTAAGGGGCTGTACTCACTATAGAGTACCCCACTGCAGGCTACACAAACAACATATTCTGACATGTATCTCTTCATATTCCTTGTACTCTTATATAATCTTGTATCTCTTTGCTTTAATCAACTTACTTTGCCCTCACATACTAGCGCAGGCCCTCAGATATCAGCGTAAAACACGCTGATTACGCTGATTTTGTAGCTCTGATTTCCGTTTTCCCTGAAAAATCGGTATATGCCTCATTTTTGCACTGTAATTTCAGTATTTGCAATTTTGTCACACTGACCATTTTGCGTGTTTCAGAACAAGTAACACTGACGAATCAGTATACTTCAGCGAGTCACACTGAAACGAACTTGACCGCCCGGGGGGGGGGGGGGGGGCGACGCGTTTACAGACTGTACCTTCCCACGAAACCCCACCCCACCCACACACTTGGAATCTTCGCACATGCGCTGTACTTACAGCATGTGCGCGCCGAACCGTTTTGCCTCGCTGGAAGCCATCACACCAGAGTACGATGAACCTAGTTCAACAACTGCCCAATGAGAACACAGACAGCACACCACTGCTGGCACGGTCCACACCAACACGCCATAAAATATGGCAGTGGGGTGGGTGGGGGTGTTGTCATCTTGCCTGGAAAGACGGAAACCCAGAACCACGATCCCTCGCCATGGCGGCTCGAGAGAGGGGGTACCCCCATCTGCTCCCTCATTCTGTTCCTGCACTCGTCGTGAACCCCTGCAGGAAGTGACGTTCGAGCTCAACCTGGCAGTAGCTTCCCTCTCAAGCTCGGCATGCTCAGCACAGCTGAGCAGCCATGGCGGATCCAACGCCCGCAGGTGACAACCCTGAATCCGTCCCAGCCACGAAGCCAGCCGCCCTTACTGGCCTAGACTTCTTACGACGAGCTTCAGCTGCTCCCGTGTTAGTCTCGCCATCAGCTCCTACCGTTGTTTTCCCTTCCTCGGGCCCCGAGGCACCTACCATCTGGACGTAGGGCGAGTGTTCGACGCATGCTGGCGCTGCCGCATTACCTCGTGTCGCTGCCGCATCAACTCCTGCCGCTGCCGCATCAACTCCTGACGCTGCCGCATCAACTCCTGCCGCTCCCGAACCCACACGGAACCGTCATCCTATCGTTGCCGGAACTACTCGCGTCGGACCCCGTCTCAAAAGGGGTATCAAAGTGACGTACCGCCAAACAAAGATCAACTGGGGTGCCAGTCAAGCTACGCCAACGTCTGGTGTGGGGAAATCCTCCCCGGAGGCCCGACAGCGTAAACAGAAGGGGAAAGCGGTTGAGGTTACCTCCGAAACAGAACTGCCCGACATAGCCGAGGAGAAATACCACGATGCCTTATTTATGTTCAACAAACAGTGGTCTGACGACTATCCGTGGCTTGTTCTGTGTCAGACGAGTGCAGGATTCCCATCAATCAAGTGCTCGGTCTGCATTGCGCACGGCGGTGTGGGCACGAACTTCGGCGCCAAAGGAGAAGGGGCGACCGATGTGCAGACCCAGGCAATGCGGAAGCATCAACGCACAAGGAAGCACCGCCACGCTCTGCGCAGACAGAGGACAGCCGAGGCGGCGCTCAAAGCTAACCGCCGGATTGACGACAACAAGAAGGTGAAAGACGTCGAGAAGGAGCGCCTGCTCGCGCTATTTGAGACGGCACTCTTCATCGCTAAGTCCGACGCCCCGATCGAGATGTACGTCGACCTCGTCCAACATCTAGCGCAGCGTGGCACACCGGGCTTCCCAAAGAGCAGTTATGGTGCCTACTATACGACGTAAGTGACATTGCTCTAGTACATATCGTCGGGGGATGTGATATACGTGAAGCTATCACTAACCACACACGTTGATGCCCGTGCAGGTACGGATTTGAAGAGATCACCGCCGCAATAGCGACATACCTTCGTGCGCGCCAGAGAGAATTCATTGATTCGAGTCCATTCATTGGTCTCAGCTGCGACGAGAGTACGGACCGCGTCAAAGGGAAGCACATGATTGTGTTTGTAACCTTTCTGCGTGAGCATGCCATCACCACAGAGTTTCTGACTAACCTCTCCGTCGAGAAGTGTGATGCAGCATCTCTTTATGCTAAGATCACGGGATTCCTTGACAGTATTAGCCTGCCGCTGGAGAAGGTGGCGGGTATCAGCACCGATGGGGCACCTGTGATGATAGGCAACGACAAGGGCCTCGTTGGGCGTCTTCGACTGGAGATCCCGCACGTGGTGGCTTCTCACTGCATCGCACACAGGTAAACTGTTGCTGAAGTGGTGTTGTTGCGGTATGAGATGTGCAACGTGGTATGTCGCAGTGCGAATTCTAACACCCCCACCCGTGCATTTCTACCCGTGGCAGGGAAGCGCTTGCTGCAAAGGAGGCGGCTAAGGCACTACCCGAGCTTGGCATAATCGACGCGGTTATCCGCGCAGTGGCGGAAGATCTCGGCAGATCCAGCAACTCCAACCGCAAGTTCAAGGAGCTGCAGGAAGTGTTCACGCATACCAACCTCGAGGTCCAGGGGATCCACAGCGTCCGCTGGTTGAGTCGTGGCGATGCAATCGCACGATTCGTACGCGTTCTGCCTGCTGTCATCGTTATGCTCGAGGAGTCGGACAAGACGATGTACCACTTAGTAACGTCGTTCAAGTTTCATTACTTCCTGTTCTTCTTGGCAGATGTGCACACGGCACTCAACGCGCTCAACCTGCTATTCCAGAAGCGACAGGTGAGTTGTTGCGTTCCGTTTTGCAGTTCTCTTCTTCTCCCAGGTACTTATCTTTTGTTTCGGTGTACCAATTCTCCCCCCACCAACAGGTCGACCTCACTGCAGTGCACTCCTAGGTGAGGCGGACCATCATCTACATGGAGCAGAGGTACCTGAACTGTGGCCAGCAGTTTGGCGGTGGGACCAGCGAGCTGCTGTCTGCTTTCCTCGCGCGGCACGCCTCGCCCGTCTGCCGTGAAGTGACTGTGGAAGGGGTGGACAAGGAGGGTCAGCCCCGTGTACACAAGTTCCAGCTGCACGAGGAGGCAGTCAAGGGATACACCACCAGCAGCGGGGACATGCAAGGCTGCTACACCTGCTGCCGCTCATTCGCCCGCGAGCTGGTGTACAACCTCGAGCTGCGCTTGGGAGACCTGATGCGCTTGAACGGGGCGAAGCTCTTCATGCCCCGCTCGTGGCCGAGGGGCGTCGAGGCAAGAGACGCAGAGTGCAAGGAGCACCTGCACGGCCTCGTCCATCTGTTTCAGGCCAAGAACCGGGACACGATCTTGCCTGGTGAGCGAGAAATAGATCCCCACTGACCTGCGTGTATGCATTGCCGTTTCCGTGGTTGCGTTATTCCCATGTTGTGCGCTTGACTTTCTACCCTGGTTGTGCTCAACCCGTTTCGCAGGTGTCCAGAAGCGTGCGGCACGAGCGGAGCTGCGCACGTTCCTGTCGGTGCTCTCCACTGCCCCCAAGGAAGAGCAGCCCTTTCACGCAGGTTTGAAGGCCATCTTGCAGACCAACGACTGGCAGACCAGCTACCCCAACTTACTCCGTCTATGGGCTGCGGTCGCTGTTCTGCCTCTCAGCACAGTCGAGTGCGAGCGCGGGTTTTCCCGCCAGAATGTGATCAAGTCGTGGCGCCGGACGAGTATCTGCAACGCCAAGCTGGGAGATTTGCTGGCAATGAGTCTGCTCGACTACGACATGGAGTGGGATAAGGTGCTGGACATCTGGCGGAGCACCAGGAAAAGGCGCCCCAGCAAGCGCAAGGAGCAAGGTGCGCCAGAGAAGGAGCGGGCCAAGGCCAAGTTTGTTAAGGGGAGTGGCCGCCGGGTGATGGAGGAGGAGGACCTAGACGAGGGCATGTGTGGTTCCGCAGGCGATGGCAGTGAGAGTGATGACGATGCCAGTAGCAGTGGTGATGATGCGAGCGTTTCTTCTGATGAAGACATGACATGAGCTATTTTGTTAGTGGTAGATTCAGCCAGCATGCGGTATTGGTGCTGCTGTTTGTCACAATGGTAACTTTGGAAGCATCCATGCACTGTTGCATCAGCTCTGCTTTTTTGGTTTTTTTACACTGTAGGTTCAGTTTAGGAAAAAAATGTACACTGACAGTATCAGTATAAAGAAAACCACCAACGCTGATTTGGACACCTGGTTGGCAGGGGCACGCTGATCCATCAGCATACCCTCAAACCAATCTGAGGGCCTGTACTAGCCCAAGGTGGTTCACAACTCTTCATTAAACGCTTCCGCTACTACTACTACATCAGTCCTACTCAGAGTTCACCCCTGCAAAGATCCTAAGGGCTTTTCTCAGCCCAATAACCCTAAGGCTACTATTCTGACAGTTTGTCCTTGCTGTCGCGCTGTACTTGTCAGGTCAAAGGTCGGTGACCTTTGACTTTCGCGTAACATCCAGCAACTGTTCAACCTCCGAGGGTTGACTCGCCAATGTTTCGATATGTTTCGCGTCGCTTCTGACTTGGTGTTTCGACACGACAGAGGCGCTTAAGTTACTTGTTTCCAACATGTCTGTCATCTCCAGAATTAAATCCTACATCAGACGGCTATGTCCTACATCCATATTAGGTCTGGATGGCGGTCTAGGGTTATGAGATGGTGGTCCATAGACGGCATACATTCTCACAAACTCTCGTGCTCATTCATATGGTATAGCCCCCCTTATAATACAGCTCACTGCTGGCAAGTACACTTAATGATACAACCTCTACGGTGACTGTACACCTTATTCAAACAAAAATGTTACGATCCAACAACAAATGACGCCTTGATCCCGTCGCTACAGTCACTGTTGGCTTTGCTGCTGAAATAAATGGTATTGCCGAAGTCTTTGGGCACCACCTTGTAGATGTACTTTCCGTAGTTGCGGCTGCGTGCGAGCTGCTTCGCGTTGAGGAACGTGCATGCAGTGTAATCCGCCACGTCAACCTTGTGCACCGAGTGTACCTCGCCCACCCATTGGAACACTACAGGTAACGGAGAGCGGAGGGAGGGAGATATCAAGGGCGGGAGAGGGAGCTGTCATTCTGGGATCAATATCTACACTCGAGAGCTCTGTCTGTCATCTTGCCGACATGCCGTAGTGCCCTGGCGCCACCTTGTAGATGTGATTCTTGTAGTCGTGGCTGAGCGCTAGCTCTTTCTGTGCTGCATTCACTCTGCACTACCTGCTCTGCACTCTGCCCTGCGCCAGCTGGTGAGCCTCAGCCCTTGAGCCACAATTCATTACTTAACCCTAAAAAACTCAAAGACCAGAGTTGGTGGTTGTGGTGTGCTGTGCTTCCAGATCAGGCCCGGTGTGCTAGAGCAGGCCCGGTGTGCCAGATCAGGCCCGGTGTGCCAGAGCAGGCCCGGTGTGCCAGATCAGACCCGGTGTGCCAGATCAGGCCCGGTGTGCCAGATCAGGCCCGGTGTGCCAGATCAGGCCCGGTGTGCCAGATCAGGCCTGGTGTGCCAGATCAGGCCCGGTGTGCCAGATCAGGCCCGGTGTGCCAGATCAGGCCCGGTGTGCCAGATCAGGCCCGGTGTGCCAGATCAGGCCCGGTGTGCCAGATCAGGCCCGGTGTGCCAGATCAGACCTGGGTTGTAAATCTTGCAATCAAAATTCCTTCCTGACAGCGTTACCGCTCCCCGCCCACTCGAAAACCACCATTGTCAATTGCTGCACTTGGGCGGTAGCACCAGCGGCAGCAGCGGCAGCAGCAGCAGCAGCACCCAACTCGGACACGGACGTACCTAGCAGGTCGCCAGGCAGCACCTTGGGCGCCTTCCAGTCCTTCACCGCAAAGCCCCATGGTGACAGCCACCGGCCGTTATTGCCCCCCACATACACCACTTTCTGCACAAGGGGAGAGGATAGAGGGGGCGGGGGCAGAGCCGCACATAAGTTGGGGGAGTTCTTGAGTCAACTCCTAAGGTAGCAGCACGGGGACAGCCACGTGCCGTTGTTGCTCCCCACGAACACCAATTCCTGCACGCGGGGAGAGGAAAGGGAGAGAGAGGAGGGGGGAGGGAGATGAGCGTGATAGCGAGGACGGAGGGGAAGGGAGCAAGAACGGGAGGGAGGGAGGAGGGACTCCCTCGGAGGGAACAGGAGGGGTGTGAGGGAGAGAAGGGAAGCAGAACGAGCATGTCTCACTTACGAGAGGAAGGGGAGGAGGGGAAGGGTGCGGGAGATGAGGAGATGGGGGTGGGGAGAGACGGAAGTGCTTCTATGAAATATGCGAACGTGGTTTCTCGAACTTGGCGAATGTTTCTCGCAGCCCTACCTGCGCCTCGGCGCTGCCTGAGAAGGAGCGAGCGGCGAATGGCGGTGACCGTTGATCATCGTCGCCGGAGAGGCGGACATCGGCGGCCGCGGGCACGGGGTGCACATCGGAGATTGCGGAAGGGGGAGGGGTAGGGCGTCGCGGGAGGAGTGGAGGGGGGGAGGAGGAGAAGGTCGCGGGTGAGAAAAGAGGAAAACATGAGCGCTAGGCGAACTGAGGAACGTGAGGAAAGGGACGATCTGGGGAGCGAGAAGCTGGATTTTGAAAATTCTCAGAAACCAGCGGAGAGTAACATGGTATGGGCGCGAGTCGGATTGAGAAACGTGAGGGAATGGGACGATTTGGGGAGGGAGAAGGAGCCTTGCGAGTAGATGCGACGCGCGTTAGACATTCGCCGTAGTACGGTGTGTGGAGGAATGTGGAGAGAAAGCGGAGCAGACGGAAGCAGTGGTACATGCCGCGTTTGAGCGCGGTAGGACTGACTTCGAAAGCGGTAGGACTGAGTATAGTAAAAGGGTAAGGCGGAGTTTCAAAGCGTGAGAAGGAGTAGGACGCGATGGCGCCTCGAGAGGGAGAGCACATCGATAAGTAGAACAGCACGGGCGGTCCCCAGAATCACGTACCGATCGCACGAAATGAGTGGAAGCACGTACCAACGAGGAGGACGAGTGCGGCAAGGAGGAGCCGCAGATGATTGGTTGCGCGCGCCATGATTGTGACAGCTGGGATGGACGGTACTGGGCTCGAAGGGGAATTGTTCAGGCGGATGCTAGTCCGTGAGCGGAAGCAGAATGGGCTATGATGTTGAGAAAAGGGGGCACAAAATATGTACACATGTTCCTTGAGGGGAGAAGGTAGGATTGTTGGAGCTTGGTCGGTGGGAGGACAAGACGGGGAGAACATGGAGTTCGGGAATCGGGATTTGGAAGCTTGCGGTGAATTGCGGTGCAGAGGGATGAGGTAGGTAAACGAGGCGTTGCTGCTGTTTCTGGGATTTCACTGAGTTGTTGGGCCGTCACGGAGTTTGTGAACCTGAATGAACCGCACAGAACACGAGCGATCTCTGAGCTACGTACATGGTCGCAGCTTTGTTTGTGCGGAGCGGAATGCAAATGCAAATGAACAAGCTCCACGAGAATGTCGGGCAGACACTGACCTTGGTGGTTGGTCATAACCAATTCTTCCGCCCGCACTGGAGAAAAAAAGGGCGCCGATTCGCCCTTCAAGGCGGCAGTGGCTGCCCGAAAAAGTACAGTTACATTGCCAGTCTGTTCACGCATCTCCCCAAGTGTTCGGGGTGGAAAGTTCTGCGCCGCCAGAAAATGTCACAACAAGGGGACAAGAAAGACCCGTGAGCGCGGCTGTGGTGATCGTCCTAACATTGACTCGGTACTGTACTAGCATAACTTGGACCTGACCTTATAACTACACCAGCGGGAACTGTCATTACATTCTCAATAAGTTCACTACATCTGCTGATGTAGTATGCAACGTAAGGAAAACAAGTTCGCCCTTCACCTGGCTCCAGTGTGTACAATTGCCTCAAATTTTCAAGTAATGTACTGCTAGGTCTGAGTTGAGAATAATGGTCTTTCTGATTCTTGGTTGACATAGTTGTTCAAACAACCTTTTCATCTCGACTTGTCTTACCCTTCATTGTGCCTGGTCTTGCAATACGCATTGTTCTATTCTCTGGTATTTGATGGAGCAATGAATCGCATTTTTTTTTTCCTACGAAGAAAGAGGAACGCACGCAAAGGCAGAAAGTGGAACGTAGCCTTCATGTTAGAGGCATTTCCAAAGCACAGTAAGATTCAAATCAACAGGAGGAAAAGGGGGAGAGAGACACCACAAATGAAATCCCCTGATTCGGCTTGCAGATTGTTCTGCCCGCCCGGTCAGAGTTATCCAAGAAATGCATGGGTAATGACCTGAGTCAAGACGTCGTGTCCCTTCCCAAATCAAACTAAATCAAACCGAACCAAACCAAATTCAAACCATGCGCTCATACATATCGTACAGCCCCCCAACAACCATACCGGAGACAGCCACAGAGCCAACCACTACAGTACGTGTACACATTCTCTTTCAGAAGTTCAAAGTTCTTACGACCCGACACTGAACGCCACCTTGATCCCGAGGCTGCAGTCCTTGTTGGCCTTGCTGCTGAAGTAGATGGTCTTGCCGTACTCCCTCCAGTTCACCTTGTACCAGTAGCTCCCGTAGTTGCGGTTGCGTGCGAGCTGCTTCGCCTTGACAAACGTGCATGCGGCATACTCAGCCGCGCTGACCTTGTGCACCGAGTGCACCTCGCCCGTCCACTGGAACACTGCGGGTAGGGTGTGGGAGCAGTAAGGGGTCAAGGGACAGGAGGATGGGGGGGAAGGGTAAGGGGTGGAGAAACGTGCGTGCAGCATACTCAGCCGCGTTGACCTTGTGCACCGAGTGCACCTCGCCCGTCCACTGGAACACTGCGGGCACGGCACGGGCGCAGGGGGGGACAGGGGGGGTTGGGGGGAAGGTGAATGGGGAGAAATTATGATGACATGTGCACCTCGAAAACAGGCTAGTGGTCTGTCGTGTTGCTGCAGTCCTTTCCGTTCCAACCGCCTTGTACCAGTAGCTGCTCCCGTAGTTGCGGTTGCGCGCGAGCTGCTTCGCCTTGACAAACGTGCATGCAGCGCACTCAGCCGCGCTCACCTTGTGCACCGAGTGCACCTCGCCCTACCACTGGAACACTGCGCGCAGGGGGGTAGGAGGGCAAGGAGGCATCGAGAGAGGGGAGGGGAGGGAGTTGACAAACGTGCATGCGGCATACTCAGCCGCGCTGACCTTGTGCACCGAGTGCACCTCGCCCGACCACTGGAGCACTGCAGACAGGGGGGCAGGGGGGCAGGGAGGGAGGGAGGGAGGGAGGGAGGGAGGGAGGGAGGGAGGGGGGGAAAGGAGTTGACAAACGTGCATGCAGCTTACTCAGCCGCGTTGACCTTGTGCACCTCGCCCTACCACTGGAACACTGCAGGCAGAGGGGTAGGAGGGCAAGGAGGGCAGAGGGGTAGGAACACTGCGTGACGCGGGGGGCAGGGAGTTACATGTATTACACATCCTTCTCAAGTGAAGTGTGATACTTTGTGCACCAAATGGACCTCTCCCGACCACTGGAACACTGCAGGCAGGAAGACAGAGAGGAAGGCAGTGAGGGAGCCACCCACACACTCGCGCAGCACATCACATCAGCACACACACATCAGGACACGCACATCAGGACACGCACATCAGCACACGCACATCACATCAGCACACGCACATCAGGACACGGGCGTACCCAGGCTGTCGCCAGGCAGCAACTTGGGTGCCTTCCAGTCCTTCATCGCGAAACGGCACGGGGACAGCCACCCACATACACACAGACACACTCGCACATCATTCGTACACCACACAACACACATCACACTCACACTCACACACACCCGCAGGAGCATGCGTACCTAGGCTGTCGCCAGGCAGCACCTTGGGTGCCTTCCAGTCCTTCATTGCGAAACCCCATGGGGACACCAACCGGTTCGAGCTGCCTCCCACGTACACGATTTTCTGCACGCGGGGAGAGGGGGCAAAGGGGCGAATTGGGGGAGGAGGGAGTCTTGAGTCGACTCGGTACCAGCCTCACAGGGAAAACAACCGGTTCGAGCTGCCTCCCACGTACACAATTTTCTGCACGTGGAGAGAGGGGGCAAAGGGGGTGGGGAGAAGGGGGGAAATTTGATGAGTCCGCGGGGAGAGGGGGCGGAGGGTTGAGAGTGAGACGGGCGGGAGAGAGGCGGGCGGGAGAGAGGCGGGAGGGAGAGAGGCGGGAGGGAGAGAGGCGGGAGGGAGAGAGGCGGGAGGGAGAGAGGCGGGAGGGAGAGAGGCGGGAGGGAGACATAATTAGTTGAACGTCGCGATCCTGAACCGAAGAGGCCTTTCTTTCGCGTCATTGGCGAGCAAGGTTCGCTAGAACTTCGTTTTTCTTCAAAGCTTCGCGAACGTTTCGTTTTTCTTCAAAGCTTCGCGAACGTTTCGTTTTTCTTCAAAGCTTCGCGAACGTAGAGAGGGGGACGGAAGCAAAGGGATATAAGGAGGAAGAGAGCATTGAGATGGAAGGGAAGGGGTGAGGGAGAGAAGGGAAGCAGTACGAGCATGTCACCTCGCATGTCGCGAATCTACGATGAAGGCGACGAGGGGATAGCGAGGGAGAGGGGGAAGAAGCAGAGGGGAAGGGAAAGGAGGCGGCTCCACGAATTTCTTGAATGTGTTTCCTCGCATGTCGCGAATGTACCTTCTCGGATGTCGCGAATCTGCCTGCTCGCATGTCGCGAATGTGGCTTCTCGCATGTCGCGAATGTGCCTCCTCGCATGTCGCGAATGTGCATTCTCGCATGTCGCGAACGTACGTTCTCGCATGTCGCGAATGTGCCTCCTCGCATGTCGCGAATGTGCCTTCTCGCATGTCGCGAACGTACGTTCTCGCATGTCGCGAATGTGCCTCCTCGCATGCACACGAGGTTGCATGCGAGTCCGTCCACGTAGGCATACCTGTGCCTCGGCGCCGCCTGAGGAGGAGCGAGCGGCGAATGACGTTGAAAGTCGTCGCCGAAGAGCACGCGTGAGCAGCGGGTATGCGGCGGGGGAAGTCGGGGATTGCGGAAAGAGGGAAGGAGGGGAGAGGGGGAACAGGAGGGTGTGGGGAGGGAAGGGGGGGGGGGGGGGGAGGAGGGGAGGGGGTGGGGAAGAGTAGAGGAAAAGGAGGGGGAGGTGGGTCGTGGAGGAGCAAAAATATGGGCGCGAGGCGAATTGAGGAACGACAGGCGAATGGGGGCGGAGTTTGAAAGCGTGAGGAGGAGTATGAAACTTTGGCGCCTCGCGAGGAAGAGCACGCCGATAATAGAAGAACGCGGTCAGCCTCGAGTTGCACAAAGGAGAGGAGGCACATGTAACGTGTCCGCGCTCCCCTCATTGCTCCGCGCTCCCCTCATTTGCGCAAACTCGATTACAGAACAGCGAACTCATTTGCGCAGGCTCGATAACAGAACAGCGAACTAATTTGCGTAACCTCGGTAGTGGAACAGTGCGGGCAGTGCGGAGGTACGTACCGACGAGGAGGACGAGGGCGGCAAGGAGGAGGAGGTGGAGTCGCAGAGGAACTAGGCGCGACATGATGACGAAGGTTGGATGGGTAAGTGCTGACTGGTTCGGAAGGGGACTCTGTTCGGGCGGGTAAAGGTGTGGGTGAGAGGGAAATGGGAGAACCAGGACTAGGCGTTTCCTGTTGGGAAAAGGCGCAAAGATGAGGTATGATATTCTGGGGAGGTGAGGTCGTGTCCGTAGGGATGACATGTCGAAGTGGGCAGTGTCAATTTGGCATTTTGACACTCTGCCAACATTGTTGGCAGAGTGTCAAGAAATTGCAGGTTGCCAGCCAATACAAATCGTCGGACACTTTTGAAATTGGCACATACAAACCTACAAACGAGACAAGATTGTCGCAGGTGCCGATCTCACGAAGCACATAATATGTCTTTTGAATTGTTCGTTGCCTAGCAGATCTACCCATGACAAATTCTCAAACCAATGAAATTGCGTCGCTGATGTTCGTACCTGCGCTTCGACTTGACACTTTCACTACAGTGCTTGACATTCTAATTTGAATGCGCTTTGGGTTGACATGCTCTCACCTGACATGTCAACCCTACGGACACGAACTGAGACGGCGTTGTGTGTGTGGTAGGAGTTCGGTTTGCGAGCTGGAACAACGGAGAACATGGGGCGGGGGTTCATCGAGTTGAGGTAGGGTTCCGTACGTTGCAGAGGGATTCTGTGGGATGTTCGGATTTCGACGGGGGCAACAAGGCGGAAACAAGGGGTTCTGTTGCTTGCGCACATATAGTCCTGTGTACTGTACAGCAGAATTCTGAAACCCTGAAGAACCGCACACTACACACGAGCGGGATGGCAAGCGTCCAGAAAATGTCGGGCAGACAAACACCTTGGTGGTTGGTAGCGACCGATTCTTCTGGAACCTGCGCTGTAGAGGGAGCGGAATAAGAGGGCTACGAATGCAAAATAAGACAGACACGTTCTCACTGACAACAGTGGATGCCCAAAAAAAAGGGTAATTACCTTTTGGGTAACTCTCATCGAGCCCGCTGACGTCAAAAGTCACCTACGCGGCTCGATGGTACCCGTCAGATCATGCGCGCCCCTTCGTGGTACCCATCTTCCCTCCGTGGTACCCATCTTCCCTGCGTGGTACCCATCAACTGTGCGCGAATTCCCTGACTGGTACCGCAACATTACAACCAAGCTGTACACCGTACAGCAAGGGTTTCAATGCGTTTTTCAGTATATTGTCTTAACGTTTATAAGCTCAATAGAGCACAGTTGATTGGTACCACGCAGGGAAGATGGGTACCACGGAGGGAAGATGGGTACCACGAAGGGGCGCGCATGATCTGACGGGTACCATCGAGCCCCGTAGGTGACTTTTGACGTCAGCGACCTCGATGTTGGTTACCCAGAAGGTCATTACCCAAAAATAAAGCGAGCAGTGGGTTTGCTCTCTTCCCTCCCAACCACATGTTTCAGGGTCGAATGACCTGCGCAGCCAGATACACAGTACTCCCCAACATTGTCTCCGATTTCACCATGAGTGAAGCCTGTCGTGTTGTCTAGTATGTTTCATACAGGAAAACACAATAGCAAAAAATTCTAGCACCAGTGGCAGTTGTTTGTGAAATTATAAACCCAAATAAAGAGAAGAAGAAAGAAGAAATTAAATTAAAAAATATACAGTGCATCTAAGCCCCTTTAGAAAATTGCAATATTCAGTTCGTACTGATGAGTTTAGTTTGAAAGTGACGAGGTGGTAGAACCGCTTTAGATTGCACTATACCGTGCTCAGCTGCTTTTGATGAACAGTTACGGAACTTTCAAAGCGCTGTTTCACATTTTCTAGACCGATCTATTGGCCAGGTGCTTCTGATACTGCCACGCGTTGGAGCTTGTCCCTTCACCAAAATGCTGAAAAGGCTGGCGATTGCCTACTTTCTGAAGCGATCATTGGCCCAAAAAGGAAAAGGAACACAGCCCATCCAGAACCAAGTTCCTGTCTATCCGTGGATTTCGCGATCAATCAGAGGATTTCCCTATTTCCGTAAAGAAAAAAATGTCCACCCATAAGTTGGTTTCCCGACAACTGGGATTTCTTTTGTCTACTACTGGGTATCTCGGAAAAGCAAACGAGTTCAACAGAAAATCATCGAGGTCAAATATCGAGGGGCTTGCTTCCAGGAGCTTTTCACAAGTCAGACAGTTCGAGCTGTCGACTGCTGATTCGTTTTTACAAGCGCATCACGTGAGATTCACATGGATCATCACATGCGTCTGTTGCGCGGGACATGAAAAATCAAGATTAGGCAGCATTGGGATTGGGTTTTCCCAGCAAGCTCTCATTGCGTGACGAGGGTTTCCTCGTGAGGAGGATTCGGCAGCAGTGCCCCCTGCGAAATCTCTTGCGGGTGAATGGATGCGGCCTGTTGGAAGAGATCTCTTTCACTTTAGGACCGACGGACACTCTTGCTCAGCTTCTACCGTGCCGCCTCCGCGTGAAAAGGAAACTCCCTTTTTTGCCAGCAGCCAGCCACAACACACACTCCAGGCATCCGCTCTACAGCCACCGCTATGGCAAAAAGGGTTTGTTCTCGAGGTTCCCTTATGCCAGCGAAGGCGACTCGACGGCCACACCCTTCTCATTGGGTCGCGGTTCGTCTGGCATTGGGGTTGTTACCAGGATGAGACGAGAGCCACGTGACGATTGCAATCGACGGTTTCCTTAGTGTCTGTGATGGAGCGTGACTTGCGGTGAGACATCATAAATTCATAAAAAAACACGTCCTGCTCTTACATTTGCCATAAAGAAGCAGAAACAAATGCTGAGCGGAAGGAAGATGATGGATTTTGTCCTTTTATGATCTGCTGGACTGGCAGAATTGAAGAAAGACCTGTGCGTACCAGCGGAGTAACTTAGCTGTTGCGTCAGCCGCGCGTCTCTTTGCTTCCCTCTCACTCATTTCTCCCAGTACGAGGTCGTGCAAAACGAGTGTGTCCCATTCCACAGGCTTCTACGCGAGGCAAGTAGTTTTTTCTTATGAGTTCTGAGAAACCATTACTAGCCAGTACAGAGTGTGTCCCATTCCAGAGGCCTTTACAAGCAGTAGTGTAATAAGCTCCATAGACTGACACCCCCCGAAGCGCACATTAGGCACTCTCCCGAGAAAGCCGGTCGAGAGGATTTATACAAGCCGTATAGTTACAATGGAGAATTCTCATTGGACCTGGAATCCTGACACTGGCTGGAATAGCCGACACGATTCGCCTAGACCTCTGACCCCACCGCATCTCAACGCTCCGTTCGCCGAACCAACGGTCGCGATGGACTCGTCGCGTCCTGCTGCCTCCGAGCGACCCGTCCAGGCGACTCCAATGCACGACGCCGCACCAAAGAGCAAAGCTTTTCCTGTAGCACAGAACCTCACGTTTGACCTGATAGGCCAGCCGTTCGTCCAGTCTCTTGTATCCCCGGCCTCACACGCTCAACCGCCGCCATTTTCAGGACCGCTACCGTCGGTTTCAGCACCGTTTAGCCACGACCCGCTAATGTCCGCACCATCTTCAAAAGGACCGTGTGTAGGACCTCTCTCAACGCGTGGCTCGGGCTCGCTACCAGAGCATCGCCTAGGCTGGCAATCAGAGCCTCGGTCAGGCTCAGAGTCTTTATTACCTGCCGAGAATAACGGACTGAGATCGAGGCTGTTTTCTCAAGGACCGGTTTTCGCGCCGTCTCCAACGGGACCGTCGTTAGGACGATCTGCAGGCTCGCATGAATTTCCTACGAGGCACCGACTGGGGTCATCCGAAGCTGTTGGGTCTGTAACTGCTAGAACGATTTCGACTGCAGTAGCTGACGTGGCGTCGTCTGACGTGGCGACGCCGTCCTGGCCAATGGCCGTGCCCCGTACAATGCTCTGGAGTAACCCACCTCAGCTGGGACCAATCACGGGGATCGAACCGCAACCGCTTCAGCAAACTGCTACAGACGCGCGCGCAGAGGCTTCGCGGGACGCAGCTTTCCCGACGGGCAAACGGGGACAGGAGGCCGCGCACCCGTATCTCAGCGCGTGGGCGCCTCTGGTTGAGCGGAGCGGAAGTCGCGGGCGTGAGGGGAGCGGAAGTCGCGGGCGTGAGGGCAGCGGAAGCCGCGGGCGGGATAGTGGCGGAAGCCCAGCAACCTCCCGACTGCTTCCGCTCTTCCCCCTTTCATCTCCCGCCACGGGTTCTACGCCCCCCCTTCCCGCTTTCCCCGCAGCCCCCGCTGGCGCGACGTCTGCAGCAGCGCCTGTTGCGCTGACAGCGCCGATGGCGCTAGGGGGTGTTCCTCCGGGCTGGGAAGACTGGGCGGCGATAGCCCTGATGGCGGAATTGGCTGGGGGGATTGGCAGCGCGCCCGTAGCACCCGCATTTCCCGCGCAACCTCAGCTTATATCGGCTTCGTCAGCGCGAAAAACCGGAGCGGCGGCGGATGAGTCCGAGCGGAACGTGCAGCGTCGGCGGGGTGGGCGGACTGGTGGCAGAGAGCGCTACGACTTGTGGCAAGGCCCGGCGTTTCTTACAGGTTCCGCTTCTGCTTCCGCCTCCGCTCCCGCCGTCGCTTCCGCTTCTGCCGCCGCTTCCGCTTCCGCCTCCGCCGCCGTCACCGCGTTTCCTAGTCAGGCACATGGACCGAACCTTAAGTCGCTGGGGCGGGAGAGAGGGGAAGGCGGGAGATTCGGGGACCGTAGTGGCGGGGATGAGCGCGAGGGATTGGAGACGGCGCGGTTGCTCAAGCGGCGCTCAGCCTGGGAACCGACACAACGGACTCAACCCTCTCATCCCTCTCGACCGATTTATACCACTCAACCGGCTAAGCCGACCCAAGAGACTCAACCCTTTGAACCTTCTCATCCCTCTCAACCGCCTCAAATGACGCAAGCGGAAGGCCTGATAAGGCGGAGCCTGTCAGTTCCCAGGAGTTTAACTAACCCGCCGCCAAGTGTGGTACGGAGCAGGAGCTGCAGCCGGGCAGCCGTTGGGGAATTAAGTTACCCGCCTCAGAGTATTCTCAAGGCCCTTGGTACGCCGGTTAGCAGGGCGCTAGGCAGTGCGGGTACCTCGCGCGGGCAGCGGAGCGAGGGGAGAACTTCCGCGGATCTGCGGGTGAGAGGGGGCGAGTTCAAGATTCCGCAGTCGGGGTCAAGATCAGGGTCTCGGTCGTTGTGCGCCTCTGCGCGCGGAGGCGTTCCTTCCGCCACCGCTCCTGGTTCCGCAAGTGAGCAGGGGCTCCAGAAAGGGGAGGAGGGGGACGGGCGCGGAACCAGGGGAGCGGGAAGCGGGAGCTCGAGCAGCAGGGGGAAGAGCGGCGGGTGGGCCAGCGGCGGGCGAGGGGAGGGGGAGTATGGTCGGTCGTACATGATGGAAGGCGGGGGGGGCGGTGGTGGCATGGGCGGAAGGGCGCTGGCGGAAGGGGATGGGCATGGACGTGCGGGCGTTTGGGGGAACGTCTGGGGAGGAGAAAGGGGAGCGGGGCCTGCTGGTGGAAGAGTAGCAGGCGGAACTGCGGAGGCCGGGGGAAGGAGAGAGGTTGGTAGAGACGCAAGCACAGAAAAGGTTAACATTCACCCAAGCAAGACGAGTGATTACGTTCTAGAGTCAAGAAAACAACAATCCAGCGGCTGCGCCTTTAGTCAAAGCAACAGGAAGCGGCAGCTGGAGGAGCAGGGGGAGCAGGGGGAGCAGGGGAGGCAGGCTGGGGAGGGGAGGCAGGGGGAGCAGGGGGCGGAGGGGAGGCAGGTTGGGGAGGGGAGGCAGGGGGCGGAGGGGAGGCAGGTTGGGGAGGGGAGGCAGGGGGAGCAGGGGGTGGAGTTGCAGGGTCGAAAATCGCCTGGGTCACGTGTGGAGCGGAGAAAGAGACCTGCGGGGACTCCGCCTGGGGGAACTCCTCCCGCGGGGACTCCGCCTGTTGGTACCCCCCTCCCGCGGACTCCGCCTGGGGGGACTCCGGCTGCTGGAACCCCTCTCCCGGGAACTCCGCCTGGGGGACTGGCGCGGCGGTTTGAGGTGCCTGTGTCGTGCGGATGGGAGGCGTTTGGCGAGGACGCGGACGGGGAGGAACGGGGGTGCACAGGTGGGGGGGGAGGCGCAGGTGGGGCAGGGACAGGGGCAGGGGGAGAGGAAGGGGTAGGAATGCGACCAGGGACGGGGACAGGGATAATAGGTGGAGACACGGAGTCTAGGAGTAGAGGCCGGGCGGGTGGCTACAGGGAGAAGTGCAGTGCTGTGGAGAGGGAGGGGAGTGGGAGTGGGGAGAAGGGAAGGGAGGGGAGTGGGAATGGGAGTGGGGAAAAGGAGGGTGGTGGTTGTGGGAAGACGGGTGAGGGTGAGAAGGGGGAGAGTGCGTGGGGGGAGGGTGCGAGGGGGGAGAGTGCGAGGGGGGAGAGTGCGTGGGGGGAGTGTGCGAGGGGGAAGGCAGGAGGCGAGTGGGACGCGTTTGTGCTTGAGATGACACGCGACACCTCGCTCCCGAAATTCGTTGCATCCGGTCCGCTTTTGCAAACCACAGTTGCTCTCACTACTCCTCCAACCCCTTCCTCCCCTGCTGCCACCCTGCCCACTACCGCGACCACTACAACTGCCGACCCGTCTCCTGCTGTCCAACTGTTACACAGCACCCATCTGAACCGCTCTCTGTGCCGACCAGGCGGCTCACAGGCGGGCTCGGTGCGGCAGCAGAGGAAAGCAGTTGGCGGATCGTTTGGGGGTTGGGTAAGGGCTGTAAGCCGTGGAAGATCGGTGGGTCAGCAACAGAGAGTTGGTGAAGCAAGGGAAGGGGACCAACCAAGGGTGGTAAGCAAAAGCAGACCACGGGCAGTAGACCAGGTAAGAACACGCGAGGAGTGTGGAGCGCCCATGCACGCTGCTGCTGCTGCTGCTTCTGGTGCTGCTGGTGCCCCCCCGGGATTAGTCGCTGAGGGAAGCACCAAAAGGCTCAAGCTCGCAGTAGCAGAAACAGAAGAGGAGGCTAGGAGAAAAGCTCAAGGCAAGGTCTCAGAGGGCAGGGTAGCTGGGCCTGAAACGGCTGACACGCCTTCCCAGTTGTGCGGTGGTAGCGTGTCAGAGCAGGTTCTGCTGCAAGCTCTTGTAACTGGTGAATGTATAGCCAGAGAGGTTGCTGCTGAAGCAGAGCAGGCAACAGCATGGAAGGCAACGCCAGTGGTTGATGCTGCAGCAGCTGGTGGTGGTGGTGGTGCTGCTGCTGCTGCTGCTGCTGCTGCTGAAATAGGATTGGCGGTAATGGCACCGAAACGTACCCATTCTGCAACAGAGCACGCGTTTCTGCCTGCTTTGGCTGGCGCCTATGAGCCCAATGATGAGACTACAGGGCTGAATAAGGTCAACGATCCGTACGAGCCCGTGCCATCTGCTGCTGCTGCTGCTGCTGCTGCTGGTCCTGCTGCTGCTCCTGTTGTCCTTGCTGCCGCTTATGCTGCCCCTCCTGTCACCACTCGTGCTGTGACTGCTGCTGACCATCCCAATACGGATCTTGCAGCAGCCGCGGGCACTGCTGCCACCTCACCTGGTGCTGCTGCCACCTCACCCGTTGCTGCTGCCACCTCACCCGTTGCTTCTGCCACCTCACCTCTTGCTGCTGCTGCTCCCGCGGCTGCTGCTGCTTCTCTTGCGGTCCTTGCTGCTGATCTTGCGCCTCTTGCTTTCCCCCCTGCCACTGCTCGTCCTCCTGTCACTGCTCCCCCTCCTGCCACTGCCCTCACCCCCACCACGACACGTCGCCCAAGGGCGAGACCAGAGCCCATAGAGGTGCCAGCGGGCGACAGTGGGGGTTCAGACGAGCATGCACTGGCAGTGGCAGCGGCAGCAGAGTCAGAAGACCAGCTCTCCGTTCCTGGGCCTCTCGCACTCCCAGGTGCACAGCAGCACGGGCAGCAGCGGCAGCAACGGCAGCTGGGGCAGCAGGGGCTGTGGCGGCCGCAGTTGGGGCTTCAAGGAGGCGAGGGACGGCAGGGGCAGGCGTTTAGAATGCCAGGGTTCTGGCAGCAAACGCAAGGGGGAGCAGTGAGGGGAGTAGAGGGAATGGGAGGAGTGGGAGGAGCGGGGGCAGTAGGAAGAGTGGGAGGGAGAGCGGGTAGGGAAGGAGAAGGCGAGGTGCCCACAGGGTCTCTGTTGATGCATCTGAGGGAGAGCCTCGGGGAGGGCGAGGGGTGGACCTCGCAGGGGAGCTTCACAGCGGATGAAGGGGAGGGGGGGAGCAGTGAGTTCGCAACAGGGGAGGAGGAGGGGAGCGGAGTCGGTGCGTTGGCGGAAGGGGTGGAGAGGAGGGGACGAGAGAGGCAGGGGGACGGGGAGAGGGCGGAGCGGGAGAGGGAGGGAGCGGAGAGTGGGGAGAGGGAGAGACAGGGGGGAGAGGAGAGGGAGGAGAGGCAGAGGGATGTTACAGGCGTTAGAGGCGGAAGGGGCGTAAGGAACACTAGGGACGTTAGGGGCGTTAGGAACGTTAGGGACGTTGGGGGCGTTAGTGGCGTTAGTGGTAATAGGCCTAGGGGGCGGAGGGAGAGGGATAGGCTGGTGCTGCGGTTGCTGCAGGGGAGGGACGGGGGGAGCTCTGGAGGCGGCAGCAGAGGGAGCTTTGAGGCAAGGAGGAGGAGGAGGAGGAGGAGGGCAAGTGGGAGTAGTCCGCAGGGAGAGGCGGGTGGGGGAAGAGGAGGGAACCAGGCCCAGGGGGTGGTGGTAGGAAGCAGGGGAGGTAGGGGAGGGAGGGGCGAGGCAGGGACGAGACTGGGGCAAAGTCCTCTGCAGTTCTCCCGTAGGAGAAGGTTTGTAAGGGAGCAAGGGGCGGGGAACAACGTGAGTGGGCAGGGGGGAGGAAGCAATGCGAGAGGGCAAGGTGTTGTGGAAGGGCCAGGGGTCTTGGGCAGGGAAGGGGGTGCGGAGAGGGTAGGGGGCGTGGGAGGATATGGGCGGAGGCATGCCAACAGTGGCAGCGGTGGGGTGGGGAGCAACAGCTGCCCTGTCCCTGATTTAGGGTTTCTTGGAATTCTGGGCGGGCCTTCAGGTGGAATCGCAGGTGGTGCTTCAGGTGGAATCGCAGGCGGTGTTGCAGCTGGGTCGTCAGGTGGCATTCGTGGTGGTGTTTCAGGCGTTTTGGGTGACGGCAGCGGCTTGGGCGGTAATGGTCTGGGCGGCAGTGGCCTGGGCGGCAGTGGTCTGGGCGGCAGTGGCCTGGGCGGCAGTGGCCTGGGTGGCAGCGGCCTGGGCGTGGTGACGGAACAGGGCACAGACGATCAACAGATAGAGCCTCCCCCTGCTGCATTGAGGGTAGAGCCTCCCCCTGGAGTAGCAAGGGCAGGAGCAGGATCGGGGCAAGGGGAAGGGGAAGGGGCTGCTGAGGAAGCAGTGGGAGTGAGAAGTGGTGGAGGTGGGAGGAGGGAAAGCGGGGGAAGGGGAAGCGGGGGGAGTGGAATGGGGGGAAGGGGAAGTGGGGGGAGGGGATCAGTGGGGAGGGGAAACGGGGCGAGCTGGATAGAGCGGTTGATCGGGCCTCGTTTGGCATTTGGCATAAGTGGGGGCGAGAGGGGAGAAGGTGGGGTTGGGAGGAGGGGAGGGGAGCAGGGGTTACTACTAGCAGCACCACAGCAGGTGGCAGGCTTGGGATTGGGCGGGCAGGATATGGAGGGACGAGTGCAACTGGTTCGTGTTGCGAGGGAGGCAGGAGGAGGGGATATTGCGGGACTTCGAAACGAAATGGGTCAGCAGCAGCTAGAGCAGCAGCAGCAGCAGGAGGAGAGACAGCAGCAGGAGAGACAGCAGCAGGATGAGCAGCAGCAAGTGGGTGCAGCAGAAGCAGCAGAAGCAGCGAAACACTTGGTAGCAAGCATTCCTCGGTTCTCTCCGTTCCTCACAGGCAGGCGCCAACCGTCGAGGCGGAGAGCAGTGGAGGCAGCAGGATCGTGCGTTCGTGCACCACCAGCAGCACCAGTGGGAGCGGGTGCGGGAGCGGGAGCAGCAGCAGGAGTGGGAGCGGGAGCGGCTGCGTCAGACTCGATGTTTGCAGCCAGCAGGTGTGCTGGTGCCTCTGCACAGAAGAGGGCGGTGCCTGGCGAGGTGTGGAGCAGGAAACGCAGAGGCAAACGGCAGAGGAGATGTGCTGGTGGTGGTGGTGGTGCTGCTGCTGGTGCTGCTGCTGGTGGTGCTGGTGGTGGTGCTGCTGATGCTGCTGTTGGCGCTGGTGGTGGTGATGCTGCTGGCGCTGGCGATGGTGCTGGAGCTGGTACCGGTGCTGGTACTGGTGCTGATGCTGCTGGTGGCGGCTGCGGTGGGGAGCAATGTGGAGAGGGAGAGGGCGAGCAGGGAGGGTTGGTGGAGAGGGCGTGTCTGATAGCGAGAGCAGTGGCGCGGAGGGCAGTGCTGGACGAGGAGCAGGAGGGCGCCAGGGCCTCACACTCCGTTGAGGCGGGTTCTGTGGATGATGTTGATATGCTGCCAGCTGCTGCTGATGATGCTCCTGGTGATGCTTCTGGCTGTGCTGCTGATTTAGCTGCTGTTGCTGTTGCTGCTACTGCTGCTGATGATGATGATGTAGCAGCTGCTGCTTCTCTCGGTGATGGTGATCCTGGTGGTGCAGCTGCTGCTCATGCTCCTGCTCTGGCTTCTGATTCCGCTGCTGCTGCTGCTGCTCCTGCTGCTCCTGCTGCTGCTCCTGCTGCTCCTGCTGCTGCTCCTGCTGCTCCCTTCAGCCCTCAACGTCCAAACCTACAGCTTCCTCCCTCTCCCTCCCCACCTCCGCCTCCCTCAGCTGAGGCAAATCAGCCACCTCATTTCCGCACTGACTTCTCCCCACCTCCCCACCTCCCCCTCAATAGCCCCCTCTACCCACCGTCTCTCCCTCCCTCTCCTGGGCCCCAGTCTCTCAGCTGGTCGCACCACTCTGCCAACGTGGCAGCTATCAGATCGTGGCTTCAGGATGCTGCTACGTGGCATGAGCTGATTGGACAGCAAGAGCGCGACCTGGGTTTGTCTGGATGGGTAGAGGGGGAGGTGGAGGAGGAGAAGGAGGATGCGGGGGAGGAGGAGAAGGAGGAGGAGGTAGAGGAGATGGAGGAGGAGGGCGAGGAGATGGAGGAAATGGAAGGCGAGAGGAGGGAGGAAAGCAGACAGCAGGAGGAAGGGGGAATTCTCAAGCGAGAAGGAAAGGAGGAGCAGGGAGAGTCGCGGGACTTGGTTAATCCTACCAGGAGAAGTTTGAGAACTGAACACCAGGAGGAGTTGGAGGTCAAAGTTGGGAATGGCGTTGGGATTGGCACTGGGACTGGGATTGACTCTCCACAGTGCATGTTCTGTGGGGCGGTGGGGCACACTGTACTGAGGTGCTCTGAAACCCGCGATGGAGAGGTGCTTGTGCTGGTTGCACGGCTGTGTGACTGGGTTGAGAGCGGTGGAGAGGTGTTGGGAGGAGTTTTGGTGGGAGGATGTCGGAGTAATGGGGAAGGGGAAGGGGAAGGAGGGAGGGAGGGAAGAGGGATGGAAGAAGGAGGGGGCGAAGAGGGGAGTGGGAAGGAGGAGATGCGAGGAGGGGAGGAGGGAGCAGGGCTGGAGGAGGGGAAGAGGAGAGAGTGCAAAGAGAAGGGTAAAGGGAGTGAGAGGGGTGGTGGGGGAGACGAGGACGGTAAAGGGAGTGAGAGGGGTGGTGGGGGAGACAAGGACTGCAAGAGTGTGGGCAGTGAGGGGATGGTGGGGGTGGCGAGGATGGTGAGGGGGGTGAAGCGGGTGAGGAGGATGGGATGGACAAAAGAGGAGCTGTACTTTTGTCTTTGGTGCGGGGTGGGCGGCAGCCACTGGGCGGCGGACTGCGCAGTGCTGAAGGAGGAGCGGAGCCTGTTTTCCATCGGGCCTGAGATAGCTGTCGCCCTCACTACCCCTGTCGCCCCCTCCCCTGCTGTCGCTCCCACTCCCCTTACCAACCCCAAGCTTCCTGCCGGCCCCACTGCCCCTGCCGGTCCCACTGCCCCTGCCGGCCCCACTGCCCCTGCCGGCCCCACTGCTCCTGCTCTCCCTGCTCCTCCAGTCCTTCCTGAGCCCCTCCCTCCCCTTGCTGCTCTGCCTGACCTGACTCCTGCTGCTCCTATCCCTGCTGCTCCAGAGGAGCTTGCAGTGAATGCATGCTCTCCCTTCGCTCTTTCTCACGCTGCTGTCCTGCCTCTGCTTCCTACCCGGCCCTCCTGTCACGCTATAAATGACACTGCTGTTGCTGGCACTGCTGCTGTAGATGGTGCTGCGGGTGGTGCTGCCGCCACTGCAGGCTATGCACATATGGCAGCAGCAGCAGCTGAAGCGGCAGCAGCAGCCACAGCAGGGGCAGACGCAGCAGCAGTAGCAACAGCAGAAGCAGCAGCAGCAGCAGCAGCCGGAGCAGCAGAAGCAGTTGCAGCAGCAGGCATGCATGTTGAGAAGGCACCAGTGAACCATCAGGTACCCGAAAGACCTGACTCCTCCAAACCTCCCACTTTCTCCCCTCTCACCCCTCCTACCCCTCATGCTCCTCCCCCTCTCACCCCTCGCCCTCCTTATTCTCCTCCCCCTCATGCTCTGGGCCTCACAGGGGGGGGCACACAACAGCCAGAGCAAGGCTGCCATCCCTGTGGACCCCTTGCTTTGGCGTCAGGTTCGGCAGCCCCAGTGCCAGGTCCGGCACCAGATTCGGTGTATGACTGGGCGTGGCTGCTCACAGCCAGGCAGCCGGCTCGGACGCACGAAGCGCAGCAGCAGGCTCGGCAGCAGAGGGGCCCAAGTGGGGAGGCATGGGATTGGGAGATGTGGGGTGGGGAGGGTCGGCAGGGGAATGGAGGAGAAGGGCGACAAGTGGAGGGAGAGGAAGTGGGGAAGGAAGGAGGAGCAGGTGTGGGAGAAAGAGGAGAAGCGAGGCTGCCTGGTGTGCTATTGGAGGCAGTGGAAGGGGCTCGCCTGTCCAGGAGAGACTTTCAGAGGTGCGTGTGTGGTGGGTGGGGAAGATGAGTGGGTTGCAGTTGTGGGGAAAAGAGAAGGAGCAAAGCTCCCTGGTGTGCTATTGGAGGCAGTGGAAGGGGCTCGCCTGTTCAGGAGAGACTTCCAGAGGTGCGTGAGTGGTGGGAGGAGAGGTGGTTGGTTGGGTGGAAGGAGATGAGCTGGTTGCGTGGCAAGGGGCTGAGGGCAAGGGGCAGAGGGCATGTGGCTGGGGAGAGGGGGAAAGGGCATGTGGCAAGGGACAGGTCACGGGGGGAGAAAGCATGTGGCAGGGGGCAGGGGGCAGGGTGGCAAGGGGGCAGAGGGCATGTGGCAGGGTGGCAAGGGAATCCAGGCAGTGGGGTGCTTCCTGTAACCTCTACATGCTCCTTCTTAGACTCGGCCCATTGCCCCCTGTTTTTCATGTCATCCCGTGTCGCCATGTGCCAGGTGGCAGGCACATGGCGAGCTGTCAGCGCAGGCCCTGCCTGCGCTGTTGCCGCCCTGCATGCTTCCTGTTTCCCTCACATGCTCCCTTTCAGACCCTGCCCATTCCTTTCCACCCTGATTCACAGTGTGCGATTACTATCTGGTGCCTACCATTTCCCTGAGGCAGGTGGTAGGTGCAAGGCGGGCTGTCAGCGCAGGCAACGGGGTGCTCCCTGCTTCCTTCACATGTTCCTTTTTTTTAACCCATCCCACTGTCACCCTGTTCACTGTGTGCTATTACTCTCTGCTGCCTACCATTTCCCCGTGGCAGGTGGCAAGCACAGGGCGAGCTGTCAGCACAGGCAACCGGGCGCTTCTTGCTCCCACTTCATGCTCCTTCTCAGGTCCCTCCCATTTCTTGCCACCCTAATTCACCCTTCCCATTCCTTCTCTCTGCTGTCTACCATTTCCCCGTGGCAGGTGGCAGGCGCAGGGCGAGCTGTCAGCGCAAGCAACGGGGTGCTTCCTGCGGCTGCGGCTGGGCAGGAAGGGCGAGCACATGGGCGGCACAGGGTACTGCATGGGACGAATCACAGGTGCGCGTTGAGTGTAGGGAGAGCTGGTTGGTGACTCAGGGTGGAGAAAGAAAGAGAGTGTCGACAGCTGTGGGTGAGAGGCTGGGCAGGAAGGGCGAGCACATGGGCGGCACAGGGTACTGCATGGGACGAATCACAGGTGCGTGCCTGGGTGGTGTCCAATGCTCGTTTTCTCTGGCCGATGTCTCCCAAACCAAAGTGCCCATATTGTCCCACACGTCTTCAAAGTTTTGTCCCACACGTCTTCTAAGTTTTGGAGGAAAAGCGTGAGAATGTGGCATTACAAAACTGGATGACTACCCTCCTGTCCTGCTCACCTCAAAAACGGTGCCACTCATCCCATCTTTTCACACCACGCATCCATCCCGTGCCCCTCTCTCTTGCTTCTTCCTCCTCTGCAGCTATTTCCAGCATGAGCAAGAAACCACCCACAGCAGGCGCAGGGGCAGGAGGAGAGGGGGATGCTGCAGGGGCAGCCAAAGGAGGCCTGACAGGGCCAGCAGGGGCAGGCAAAGAAGATGTAGCAGGGGCAGCAGCACTGGATGTGGAGCTGTCGTCGTGTGTGGACTCTTTGCCTCTTGCTCTCGTGGTGGACCTGGGCGATCGAGAGTACACAGTGGATGGCCAATTCCTCTCCAACAAGCCATTTCTTGAGGTAAATTGCCTATCATCTTCTGTGTGGTGTTTTTTCCCCGGTGCTTTTGCGCCAAGAACGTGCACATGTTTCATGGTCGTTTCTCCTGAATCCTTATTTTTGGAACGGTGTTAATGTTCTATGTTTTCAGTTTACTAGAACAAACGCCTTGTTCCATTGGTCCTTGAAATGCCCAGGTGGAGGTCTCTGATTGGTGCGAGAAGATGTGGAGGCGTGGGGGGAGTGCACTTCTTGACTCAGTGCTGTCACATCAGCTCCTGCATTCCAAACTGCACGAACGGAGATCATGGAAATGATTCGCAAGTTTGTTACAAAAATATTGTGTAGACAAAATGGTAATGCAAAATCAGTTTTTGCGCTGCCTCAAAGGAAATGTTGCGGAGGTGAGGCGAGACTGGTGAAGTCCAACAATGGACCAGGAGTATTCTTACCTGCTGTATCTCAGGGCGTGTTCCTACACCTCGTATCAGACACATCTCGTATCAGCTTCGCGTGGTTAAATAATGTTTCAGTGTGTTCAACTGCGGTTGGATGCGTTTTAGTGCGTTTCGACGCGAATCTGATACGAGGTTGCCTGATATGAGGCCGTAGGAACACGCTCTCAGACGACCTAAATGGAGCGGCTTGATTTGTTTTATGCTAACCTGTGATGCTTTATTGACACAACTACTCAGCGTGTAGCTTCAAGGTGCGTCGTTTCGATGACCTTTTAGAGGGGTCGGAGAAAATGGGGTTTTGTTCGAGGGATGTCCGCCGTAAACACAGGCGCTTTCAGCACCCAGAGTTGCTTCTACGATACGACGCGTGAGTGTAACGGGCGGGCCCTCCTGACCGTACGCCGTAATTCCGAAGTTCCGGACCAGAGTGGTGACGACGAGAAGGGTACTGTACAAGGCTGAACCCGAAGACACGAAGCCGCTATTTGCGCAAGAACGTCAATTTCGACGTGACCAAACAAAACAAGACATTTCCGAACGGGAGCAAACTCGACGAACCAACCAACGAACGAACCAACGAAGACACAACGCCACAGGCTGACCACAACCAAAAGGCAGGAGATGTGGCGCAGTTCCTTGTGACTGTGTCCAGGTCGGTGGAATCGCCAAATTCCTTCGCCAGATTTCGCCTCGTTCCCCCATCACGGCTGGCGGGTCCTCCATGTGGCAGTACCTCACCAGACCAACTGGGGTGTCGATGAACCGCAGGTTCGCATCACAAATCAGGTTCGGCAGCCGTAAGCCCTTCCGCCATGGACCAAACCCACCTGGTTCGGCAAAGCGCAGAAAGTCATATCCACCCCAATCCACACATGCATTCAGTGCACGCAACGGCTCTTCCTGCTTCGTCTGGCTCACATTTATCACATACCCCAAAGCATACTCACATCCACGTCCTCCCCTGGGTTCTTCTGGTCTAGAGGTTACCTTTCTTTCCTGCTTTCATGAGAGCAACACTCAGATGATGGCGGCAACCATGGCTTCGTACTACGTCCCACAGGCTAGTCCTTATTCTCTTACAGCCCTCCGTGTATATGCATCTCCGATGCGTCCGCTGATACGCCTCCTTTGATGTGTCCGTTGACACCTTTCTTTCCAGTTTTTTTGTGATGTCAGAGCCGCGATGCGTTTGTAGTGCATGTCTTGCGCTGCAGCGTAGGCCTCCCCGGTTTGTAACGAAATCTCGGAGCGGTCGTTTCTTGTATGTCGGCACTTTGAACAGCTCTTTCATCTCTTTGTCGAGCTATCCCATCCGTTGTCCTATACCGCACACCTGCTTCTGAGACGTCTCAAAACGCATTCCAAAGCGATCCTCCTTTCTCGCGAGTCTTACTATTTCCGATCCCCCGATCACGCACACGTAGACGATATACGTCTCGTTACCCACTTTCGCGTACCTCTTCGCTGCCACCAGGGTCCAACGGCCAACAGCTTATCGGACATGGGAAGAGAGCTAGAGGAGCTTCGAGCGAGCTACCAACAGGTGTGTCTCCGCGTCGCCCTGTCCGCGCGCTATTCTCGTAAGTATTGGTCCTCGTTAATGTCGCTTTACCGTTCAACGTTTCTGTTGCTTTTTTCTAGGGTTCAGCTCCATGTTTGAAACCTCATGTATGATAATGCAGTCTGTACGCGGTTCAGGGTGACTGTAGTTTTGCACTCATCCGTATCTGTATCAACGTATGCTCGCATCTCCGTCCTGTACCTTCTCGCGTTGATGTGACTGTTGGTTCACAGGCAGTATTCGATGTGTAACCGCCCGCTGATGCATCTGTGTGTTCGCATGGTCTCACGCGCATGCGTTCCCGTCGTGCATTCCCAGCGTTGATCCCCGTCGTGCATTCCCCTCATGCGTTCCCATCATGCATTCCCCTCATGCATACCCCTCATGCATTCGCGTCATGCATTCCGGTCATGCCTTTCCGTCGCGCATTCCCATCATGCAGTCATATGTGCCTCCCCTTGTGAATTTCGTGACTCCGTGACCATGCGTCCAGGTGTGCGAGGAGAGGGGCGCCTTGAAAGACCTGCTACTGCAGGAGCAGCTTTAATCGACTCGCCTCTAACATTGTTTGTCCCACATGATACTTGTGACCATGCGTGCGTGCAGGTGTGCGAGGAGAGGGACGCCTTAGAGGACCTGCTACTACAGGAGCAGCTCAAGAATGGCACCCCTGCTGTGAGCCCTTCCTCTTGCCATCCAACGACTTACACCTCCTTTCGTTTTGTGAGGTGCCTCGAGGGAAACATGGCGCCCTTCATTCACCACGCTGTTGCTACATTGCCTTTCCGGTTGCACATTTTAGGGCTCGTTTGTCTCTTCGCTGTTCCGTTCCCTTGTTAGTTTTGTCAAGCATCGAATCTGTCTCGTTGCCTCGCCTCGCCGGTCTGCTGTGATGTGATTGATGTGGTTGGGCTGGCAGGACAAGCAGATGGGTGGAGGAGGCGAGGGCACAAGCAGCAGCGCTGGAGATGGTTTTTGAAGCGTCCATATCGTGGTTGATGTGATTGCTGTGATGTGATTGATGTGGTTGGGCTGGCAGGACAAGCAAGTGGAGGAGGCGAGGGCACAAGCAGCAGCGCTGGAGATGGAGCTGCAAGCCATGGCCTCTCGCTGCGGTGAGTGGGCTGCCGTGCCGTGCCATGCCCTGCTTGCGCATCTAAGATGTGGTTTGAGTCGACTCGAGGGCATCCCATTGCCTCCGTGGTGCTGACGAGTTTTAGACTCCTTCTTTCCTATTCCCCTCCTTCCCCCCACTCTCCTCCCTGGTGTGTGTGCAGAGGAGTGGAAACGGAGGGCGGGCGAGCGAGCATTAGACCTTGGCGCAGCCTTGTTTTGAGACGTCTTAAATCCTTCCTCCTATTACCCTCCTCCCCTCTCCCTCCCCCTCTCCCTCCCCCTCTCCCCCACCCTACCCTTGGGCGCACAGAACAGAGACATGGAATGGAAGCGGAGCGCGGGCGAGCGGGCAGCGGAGATGAATACAGCGTTGGAGCAGTCGAGTTTTGACACGTCTCAAATCCTTCTCTCTCTTGCCCTTCTCTCTTCCTCCCCCATCTCCCCTTACCCTCTCCCCCCCCCCCCTTCACTGGGTGCGCAGAGGAGTGGAAGCGGAGGGCGGGGGAGCGGGCAGCGGAAATGAACCCAGCGCGCTGGAGGAGGGACTGGAGGAGCTCGATGACTCCTCCTTCCCCCCCTCGACCCCTCCACCCCCACCCCCCCCTCCTCCCCCCCACCCCTGTGCGCGTAGATGAGTGGAAGCGGAGGGCAGGGGAGCGGGCAGCGGAGATGAATCCCGTGTTGGTGCAGGCGCTGCTGGAAGAGCTCGATGACTCAGATTCTCCTCCCCCCTCAACCCCCCCCTCTCCCCCCCCCCCCCCCTCCCACCCTCACCACCCCCTCTCCCTACCGTGGGTGCACAGACGAGTGGAAGCGGCGGGCGGGCGAGAGGGCAGCGGAGATGAATCCCGTGTTGGTGCAGGCGCTGCTGGAAGAGCGACTGGAGGAGCTCGATGACTCTGGCGTGCTCGCCCTGCAGGTGAGGGGGTTGTTGTGTTTTGAGTCGACTCAGAACACGACTTGTGTGAGCCTTTGCTCGCCCCGTCTCTGCCTCCCTGCATGTGTGCACGCGTGCGTTCGTGCGTGTGTGTGTGCACACATGCAGGGACGAGCTGTATTCCTAAACGACTCAAAATGCCCCTCTTTCCCTCTCTCCCATGTGCGTGCGTGTCGTGGCAGGTGGAGTGTGCTCGTCTGCGGGACGAGCTGGCCAAATCCGAGGTGTTGCGCTTTGAGCTCTACCGCAGCCTGGAGCAGGGCGCAGGTGAGGGCAGGGGGGGCAGGGCGCAGGTGAGGGCAGGGGGGGCAGGGCGCAGGTGAGGGCAGGGGGGGCAGGGCGCAGGTGAGGGTGGGAGCAGCCGCGCAGGTGAGGGGTGCGGTTGACAGGGCGCAGGTGAGGGGTGTTTAGCGCAGGGGGCAGACGTGTCTGGTGCATGTTGCGCAGGGAGGGTGTAGAGAGGTGCTGCGCTTTGAGCTCTACCGCAGCCTGGAGCAGGGCGCAGGTGAGCAAAGGGGGCAGGTGAGCAAAGGGGGCAGGTGAGGTTTGCAGTGCAGGTGAGGTGGGGGGGGGGGGGAAGGTGAGGGGAGGGGGGGAAGTGAGGGGAGGGGACAGGTGACTGCAGGGGCCAGGTGCGTATTCTACTGCAGAGGGGGCAGTTGGGTTTGATATGCTTGTGTCGCTGTTGAAAGAAAATAATGGGTGTATTGTATAGTGCTGTGCACAGCATGTGTGCTTCTGCCCTCTACAAACGCCCTCATCCCTGCACTCACTGCTCTCTCCCCACTTCCTTCCTCCCCTCCCGGACCTTCTTACCCTGAGCTCCCTCCACGGTCCCCCAGTGGAAGTGGAGAGCCGGTGGGAGTCAGAGGCATTTTTTAGTCGACGCAAAAGTCAAATCCCCACACCCGCCCTCTCCTCCCCTACCCCTGACCTTCTTACCCCGACCTCCGTCCACGGTCCCCCAGTGGAAGTGGAGAGCCGGTGGGAGTCAGAGGCGTCTGGTATGTCACCAGCGAGAGAAGGCAGCTTCAAGAGCAGAGACGCAGAGAGGTGGGTGGGAGGCGGTGATTCAAGGCTCTTGAGGGGTGAAGCGACAGTTGAAGGAGTGAGAGAAGAAAGAGACGCACCAGACGGAGTGAGGGGAGGGGATGCACTGAGGAGAGGACAGTGAGGTGTATTTTGAGGCGCCTCAAAATACACCTCACTGCACGTGAGGCGACAGTGCAAGGAGTGAGAGAAGAAAGAGACGCACCAGACGGAGTGAGGGGAGGGGATGCACTGAGGAAACGCATGAAGGGGAAGGGGGTGAGCGAGCGGTGAGCTTAAGGGAATCCCAGAAAGAGAGCCGGTGGGTGTCAGAGGCGTCAGGCATGTCTCTAGCGGGAAAAGGCAGCTTTAAAAGCAGAGAGGTGGGGAGGGTTGAGGGTTTAGGGGCTCGGGTTTAGAGAGCAGGGACTCAGAGAGCAGCGAGGAGGTACGCAGTTGAAACTGCAGTGTTTGAAGTAGTGTTTTGAGACGTCTCAAAACAGCAGTGCACGGTTCAACAGTTGAGTGATGAAGATGATCTCATCTTTCAGCTGACTCAAGGGCATCTTGAGTCGATTTTTGAGGCGCCTCAAAAATTGTTTTGAGGCGCCTCAAAACTCAGCAGTGCACTGTTCAACAGTTGAGTGATGACGATGATCTCATCTTTCAGCTGACTCGAGGGCATGTTGAGTCGACTTAAGTGATCTGTTGTCTTTCTTTCCTCACTGCTGTTGCTGCTGCTGCTGCTTGAGCAGGCACAGCAACGACAGTGATGAGGATGCACCAGGCCGATCAACCACCCCTGTCATGGTGAGTCATGTCATGCCATGCCATGCCATTCCATGCCATGCCATGCCATGCCATGCCATGCCCGTCATACCATGCCATGCCATGCCATGCCCGTCATGCCATGCCATGCCCTGCCCTGCCATGCCCGTCATGCCATGCCATGCGTGTGCCGTGGTATTTGAACGTAACGCCCTTGTTGTCCCGTCCCTGCCATTCCCCTGCTCCCCTTTCTCCTCCCCCTCCCCGGCACACTTTCTGTTTCCTCTCCGCCCATCAGATGGAGTGTGACGAGTCACTGGTACAAGAGCTACTGGAGCTGGGGCAGGCGTCAACAGAGCTCCATTCCCCTTTGTCTGCCTCTCCCTGTTCCCCCCTCCGCCACATCAGATGGAGTGTGACGAGTCAGTGGTAGACGAGTTACTGGAGCTGGGGCAGGCGTCAACAGGGCTCCATTCCCCTTTGTCTGCCTCTCCCTGTTCCCCCCTTCGCCATATCAGATGGAGTGTGACGAGTCAGTGGTGCAGGAGCTTCTGGAGCTGGGCCAGGCGTCGCTCACTCAGGAGGACGTCACTCGCCTCATGGAGACCGTGGAGGTGCGCTTGGAGGGTGTGTGGGGAGGTGGAGGCTGTGAGAGGGGTTGTGAGAGTTATGGGCGGGAGAGGTATGGGGTTGGCGATATTAAGAGCTACTGGAGCTGGGGCAGGCGTCGCTCACTCAGGAGGACGTCACTCACCTCATGGAGACCGTGGAGGTGCGCTGGGGGGGGCTGTAGGGGGGTCTGGAGAGGAGAGGTATGGGGGATGAGGCTAGCTAGAAGCTACTGGAGCTGGGGCAGGCGTCGCTCACCCAGGAGGACGTCACTCGCCTCATGGAGACCGTGGAGGTGGGCTTGTGGGGGCTCTGAGCGGGGCGGCAGTTGGGTGGAGGGTGAGAGTTATACAGGCTGTGGGGGAGGTGCCGGCAGGGTTGAGGCTGTGAGGTGAGGTGAGGTGAGGAGCTGCTGAAGCTTTTGAGAATTCTCAAAAGTGATTTCAATACAGGCTGTGAGGGAGGGGCAGGCAGGGCTGAGGCTGTGAGGTGAGGAGAGGTGAGGAGCTGCTGAAGCTTTTGAGAATTCTCAAAAGTGATTTCAATACAGGCTGTGAGGGAGGGGCAGGCAGGGCTGAGGCTGTGAGGTGAGGAGAGGAGCTGCTGAAGCTTTTGAGAATTCTCAAAAGTGATTTCAATACAGGCTGTGAGGGAGGGGCAGGCAGGGCTGAGGCTGTGAGGTGAGGAGAGGAGCTGCTGAAGCTTTTGAGAATTCTCAAAAGTGATTTCAATACAGGCTGTGAGGGAGGGGCAGGCAGGGCTGAGGCTGTGAGGTGAGGAGAGGAGCTGCTGAAGCTGGGCCGGGTGTCGCTCCCTCAGGAGGGCGTAACACGGCTGGGATGGGGGGTGCGTTGTTTGGGTGGATTGGGGGTTGGGGGAGGGAGGGTGGGAGTTGTGCATTGGAGAGGTATGCAGGTGGCTGGGGCTGTGAGGAGCTGCAAGAGGTGGACCAGGCGACTTTTGAGTCGACTCAAAAGTCACCTCGTTGGGGGAGGGAGGGTGAGAGTTGTGCAGGTTGCTGGAGGTGAGAGTTGTGCAGGTTGCTGGAGGGTGAGAGTTGTGCAGGTTGCTGGAGGGTGAGAGTTGTGCAGGTTGCTGGAGGGTGAGAGTTGCGCAGGTTGCTGGAGGGTGAGAGTTGTGCAGGTTGCTGGAGGGTGAGAGTTGTGCAGGTTGCTGGAGGGTGAGAGTTGTGCAGGTTGCTGGAGGGTGAGAGTTGTGCAGGTTGCTGGAGGGTGAGAGTTGTGCAGGTTGCTGGAGGGTGAGAGCTGGAGAGGTATGCAGGTGGCTGGGGCTGTGAGGAGCTGCAAGAGGTGTTGACCAGGCGTCTCTCACTCAGGAGGATGTAACTCGGCTGATAGGAGGAGTGGAGGCATCGAGTTAAGCGAGGCTGTCTTTGAGACGTCTCAAAAACTCTCCCCAGCCAATGTGAAGCGAGGTTGTTTTTGAGACGTCTCAAACAGCAGGGTCTTGCACACCACAGTCCCAATTCCGTAATGCTGTGCAGGGGTGTTGAAGGTTTATGGGTCTTAGGCAATGAGGCCTCATTCCTTTTTTTTTCTGTCCCAGTTTCTTAGGCAAAGGAGGCATCGTTTTCCTTTCCTGCCCCAGGCATCAGAGAGGCGGGCAGAGAAGGTGCGGAAGGAAGGAAGCTTCTTCCTCCCTCCCTCTTCCCACCCCTGCAACCTCTGTGCTAGTCTGTCTTTGGCGCCTCCCTCCCCCACAGGCAGCAGAGAGGCGGGCAGAGAAGGCAGAGAGGGAGGCAGAGCAACGAGCAGTGCAGGTGCAGCTGCTGGAGGCGAAGATGGCCGCCATGCTGGTATGTGATGCTGTGCGGTGGAATGTGGTGAGGCAAGGTGGGATGTGGCTGTGATATATGCATCGGTGCACGCACTAGTTCTCATGGCGAGCAGTGCAGGTGCAGCTGCTGGAGGCAAAGATGGCCGCCATGCTGGTATGCGGTGATCATGTTGTCTGGTCTGGTGGTGATGGTATATGGTGATAGTAATGAAGTAACCTCTTCCTCCTCTTTCCCTCAACCTCTTTACCCTTCACCCACTCACTCACTCACTCAATCTTATTTGCTGTACTCACTCCCTCTACCCCCCATTTTCTCTGCCCCACCAGAACGCCATGTGTGAACCCCAGAACGTTCATGTGTGAACGCCAGAACGTTCATGTGTGAACCCCAGAACGTTCATGTGTGAACCCCAGAACGTTCATGTGTGAAACGCCAGAACGTTCATGTGTGAACCCCAGAACGTTCATGTGTGAACGCCAGAACGTTCATGTGTGAACCCCAGAACGTTCATGTGTGAACGCCAGAACGTTCATGTGTGAACCCCAGAACGTTCATGTGTGAACCCCAGAACGTTCATGTGTGAACCCCAGAACGTTCATGTGTGAACCCCAGAACGTTCATGTGTGAACCCCAGAACGTTCATGTGTGAACCCCAGAACGTTCATGTGTGAACGCCAGCCCCATGGACGAGCACAAGCGCTCGCTCGCCCTCCCTCGTGTCATCCTCGCCCTCCCTCGTGTCATCCTCGCCCTCCCTCGTGTCATCCTCGCCCGTCTTCACTGTGCCCAAACACCCTCCCATGTTGTGCCCCCTCCCTCCCTCCCTCCCTCCCTCTACCCGCCATTTTCTCTGCCCCACCAGAGCGCCAGCCCCATGGACGATCACATCACAAGCACTCCCCCCTCCCTCCCTCCCTCCCTCCCTCCCTCCCTCCCTCCCTCTTCCTCTCCAGAACTCCTGCCCTATGGACGAGCACAAGCGCTCGCCGTCCCTCGTGTCCTCGTCGCCCATCTCCTTCCGCCTCTCCCCCGTGGCCTCCTCCTCCTCCCCTGACCCCGCCTCCCTCACTCGCTCCAGCAGCAGCAGCGCCACCTCCCAACACAGCCAGCAGCAGCAGCAGCAAGCCCTCTTCCAGGAGCAGCAAGCAGGGAGGCAAAATCAAGACGAAAGGGAGCAATTACCACAGTTGAGCGGAAGAGGGGACAGAGTAGCAGGAGGAGTGGAAGGCGAATTAAATGGAGCAGCTCTGGGCTCGAAGTTTACTGGAAGAGGCACGGCGGAAGGTGGAGTGGTGGCAGCAGCAAGAAAGGGAGGCGACTTGACGCATGAAGCAGTGGTCAGAAGAGGCGCTCTGGGTGTGGTTGTGGATAGAAATCCAAGGACAAAACCAGAGGAGGAGCAGGAGCAGGAGGAGGTGGAGGAACGGGAGGAGGAGGAAGGGGAGGATGGGGTGGAGGAGTTGAGGCAAATGGTGCATAGAGTGCAGAGGCAGAACCGGATCACCCATGTGCTCCTGTCAGTGGTCGTTGCCGTCTCTATTCCACCTCTTGTGGCCTTGGTTCGGGGGTGGTTCGGTGGTTGGGGTCGGCGGTACGAGCCTAAGAGGCCGGGGGCGGGGCCGGCTCCGAAGCAGGTTGCACGGGTTGCGATTCGGAGCAAGTAGTTGGGCTGGTGGATGGAACTTGGCTGAGGGGGGTACCGTACCCTGTGTGGGTTTCATGACCACCGTTGATCAACTGCTCCCTGCCGCCAACCATCGTGATCAGTTCTAACTTCTACGGTACCCAACACCACCAGCGACATTCCATCTCTGAGCTGTTCAAGGAATCATCACGACTGCTCCCTGCCACCAACCACCATCATCACCACTCCCACGACACCCAACACCACTGCAGCCACGTTTTGTCTTTGAAGCGGCCAAGAAATCATCACCACTGTTGCCACTGCCCCTCGTAGTTTTCCTTTTGAGGCGCCTCAGATGCCATCTGGCCATTCCACCGCCACCCAACGGCATCAGCCGCCCCAATGTGTTGATGAGGCGCCTGGAGATTGACCATCGGCACAGTGACCATCAGCACAGCGACCATCACAGCAACCATCGGCACAGCGACCATCCATCATGACCACAGATGATTTTTCAGTCAACGACTGCAACCATCTCCATCACTCACTCCACTCCAGAACGACTTTTCAGTCGACTCAAAATGACTTCTGACTTTTGAGTTGGAGTCGACTGAAAATATGGAGTCTGAGTCAACCACTGCGACCAAATTCATCACTCACTGCGGGGCATCATTCATTCAAGTTATTCATCTTCAGCAGCATCTGTGAAGAGCAGCAGCCACACCACACCACCTCCACTAGCACAATTAAACACTGCCACCACAGCACCATGCATAGCAGTGACAGAAGCAACAGCAGCAATGGCAGCGATAGCACTGCGCCTGTGTGCTGGAGCAGGGAACACCATGTGTTGGTGTGCGCAATTGGATTATCCATTTTATCACTGCCAGCCTGCCAGCCTGCCAGCCAGCATCTGACCCATAGCTACACCCTTCCATCCGCCCCATGTTTCTTTAGCTGCCTCAGACAGAAGGCGTCTCACGTGTGTGGGTGTGTGCAATCGAACCATCGATTTCATAACTGCAGTCTGCCAGCCAGCATCAAACCCACAGCTCCCTTCCATCCGTTCCATATTGTGCCATGCACCACCGCCCATCCTTTCACCAGGCAGCCATGTGTGCTGTGCTGCTGCGAGCTGACCATGCAGCACCTTGCGGCACCATGCAGCACCATGCAGCACCATGCAGCACCATGCAGCACCTTGCAGCACCTTGCAGCAGTGAGCGCCATTCTGCACTACGATGTACCACCATTGACCACCATGAAACATGCGTGCACACTGCACATCCGTCAAGAGCCCGCCCATCCATCCGTTCATCCCTTCTGCCATCCAGCCAATCCCGCCCGAGCATAAGCCTACTTACTATGGACCAAACTTACCATTCTTTAATATAGTAAGACGTACATGAATCCCATTCTCAACCCCAGCAGCAGCAACAGCGATTGGATGGCTCTGTTTCAACCCAATTATCCCATGCACCAGCTCCCCTCCGACTTGCCCTCTGCGCAGCTATCTGCCCAGCTGCGAGTTTCCGCGGGCTGACCGCATTCGTCCTTCATGTAGAGGTCTCCGCTAGATGAACCTGTGGCCCCGCACAGCCGCAGACCTTAGTATTAGCAGTGCTTCACCTGTTCTCATTATGTTTTTCAGGTGCCCTGTCGTCTGGTGTTGCTGTGCGGGTACGGTATGTTTCCTAGATTCAGCCACTCACAAAGTAATTGTGCTTTGTTTTTTAGGATTTGCGTTGGCAAAATGTAGTATATGCTACTTCATTTATTATTATTGAAGGTGTTGAAATCCAGTCTCGAGCTTTATTGTAGAAGGGTAGTGACCAGCTCTTCCCGCCAAAAAGGACCGCACCGATTGAATGGTCATTGGCCACACAGCCATTCAGCTTTGACGCGGTTGCGGTCTGCTTCGGCGGGGTGAGTTGAGTTCGCTGTACACACGACGCTACTGCGTCTCGGCAATTTCAAGGGCCATTTTCTGCAAGGCGTATTCGAAACAAAGCGAAAAAAAAGAAAAATGTCGTGAGAGTACCCGAGTTACGGAACTTGCCACTCAGCCGCATTGTACTGGGTGGATTCTGGGTTGTGGCTTCTGGTTGATGAAACAACAAATGACGAAGAGTACTGTTTTGGGACGGTGAGATACCAGGAGCAGGAACACCGCCTCGTCTCTGGTGTTGGTGGCATAGCATCCCGCAGGCATTTTCTCAAACAAAATGGCCTACAACCAACCAGATACCTACTCACTAATACTGTCTGATTACCTCACCTAGAACCTGCTTTGTCCATACCGCGCTTCTTATATTCATCCAACACGTCATTTGGTGACTAGCAAACCGTGGTTTCAATTTCCGTTGGGATTGGCTTTGTACTAGCTCATGCGATGCGATACCGCAAGCATCTCTTCGCCTTCAAGCCAAACTCCATTCCCGTAGTGTCAAGCGTTCCTTATGAGTCCACTCAGAAGTCACCTTTACGTTCACCATTCCCGTGACATCACGCGTTTCCATTTCTATAAAGTGTCGCTCCTTTTGACCGCTCGCACCTCTGTCGCAGTCGCTGCTTATTGTCGCAGATCATGACGACGTCGCTGACTGTGATAGTAACGAATAGCCACCCGATCACGTGCTGCAGCGGAAACGAGAGAAGCAAGTCAGTTATATTTAGTAACAGAAATAGCAGTAGCACTAGTAACAGACATACTGATAGGCTTGGTTCTAGAAGCGAATGCGCTATCGAAACTCATAGACAAGACTCTGTAGCAAGAGGCATCGACAGGGCGACGACCTTTAAGGCTAGTTCAAGGTCAAAACGCAGAAGCTTCGTTATAGTCACAGCCACAAACGTAAGCCATAGAATGTCCGCGACATGTATTCTAAGATAGCACACCCACTTGAGGTTCCAGGGACTGCCAAACCTGACCAATCCGAGTCTGTCCCTGCCGAACCTGGTTCCCCAGCAGGCATGGCTGCCGAACCTGCAAGTTCGCGGCGGAGAATAAACAGCTGGTTCCGGAGACTACATAGATCACATAGACTACAGCTTTTTCTTCTTGTGTTTATACAAGTGTTTCTTATAAAGCGGACGGCTGCTCAGAGCCCTGCGGATATGGATAAAGCTGCACTGTTGAACTTTAAAGCCCACGTGACAGACGACCCTACAGGTGAGAAAGGCGATACTCCAACATACCCCTTAGAATGTACTTCTTTACTGCACATTTCGGCCATCCTCACCCATGCTCCCCCGTGTTCCTTACCTGTGTTGCTAACCCATGTACTTTACCCATTCCCTCCCCTTTTTCTCCCCTCCCCCATCCCCAGGTGCTCTTTCCAACTGGAACCCCGACGACCCCGAACCATGCAGCTGGACGGGCGTTAACCGCATTCTTCTCCCTAACCTTTTTCCCTGGTCCTTTCCCACAACACCTCCCCCACGCCACCCTTTCCCTCCCCCTTCCCCACCCCTCCCAATCACACAGGTGCGCTTGACAACTGGAACCCCAACGACCCCGACCCATGCAGCTGGACGGGCGTCGACTGCAACCCCTTCTCTCGCCGCGTCACCTCCCTCTCCCTCCCCTACCGCACTCTCTCCGGCACCCTCGACCTCCCAGACCCGTCCCTTGCCTCCCTCTCAGACCTCCTCCAACTCTCCCTCCCCGGAAACTCCTTTCCAGGCTCCTTCCCCTCCGCCCTCTCCCGCCTCTCCTCGCTTCAAACCCTGGAGTTAGCAGAAACGGAGCTCTCAGGGGAAATCCCGGGGAATACCCTCTCCGCCCTCCGCCGCGTCGCCGTTCTAGACCTGCGCAAGAACGCCCTCTCGGGGCCAATACCCCCGGAAATCTCAGCTCTCAACTCTCTAATCAAGCTAGACTTGCGAGAAAACGCCCTCTCGGGCCCTCTCCCCACCGAAATGCAGTCACTGGGACAGGTGCAGGATATTTTACTAGACTATAACCAGCTCTCGGGTCCCCTCTCACCAGCACTCCTAGTCTCACTCCCCATCGTCCAGACCATCTCGGTCCGGGGAAACGGGTTCGAAGGGGAGGTGCCGAAGGAGTTTGGGTACGCGCAGCGGCTGTCGAGATTGGATTTGGGCGGGAACAGGCTGCAAGGGAGCATTCCCGAGACGTTTGGGCAGATGTGGAGTTTGACGTCTCTTCGGTTGGACTCGAATCGGATTGGAGGGACGATTCCGTCAAGGTTGAATACGCTGGGCCAGCTGCAGGTGCTGATGCTGAACGGGAATGATTTGGTAGGTGAACTTCCCCGGTTTAATGGGCTGGAGAGTCTGGTTCAGTTTGACGTTTCGAATAACGATTTGTTCGGGTCGACGCCGACGGAAGGGCCTCTGGCGAAGTTCCCTCCATCCTCGTTTGAAGGCAATCCGGGGTTGTGTATTGGGGAGTGTCCGCTCTCTCCCCCTTGGTGGCTGCCCAGTCCGCCCATGTCTCCCCCAAGAGCCCCCCCGCCCCCCTTCGTCTCCCCATTTGCTCCCCCTCAAATTTTCCCCCCTCCGCCTGCCTCGCCCTCCCCCCCTCCCCCCGTTCAACCTCCCCCTCCGCTTCCTTCTCCTCCTCCCCTTCTTCCCCCTCCTCTTCCGCCTTTCCCTTCCCCGCCTGTGCTTCTCCCAGCTCCCCCTTTCCCTCCCCCCAAGCCCCCCTCTCCCCCCCGGAAGCGCCTGCCCCCATATCCCCGCTTTCCTCCTCCCCATCCGCCCCCTTCCCCCCCAACCTCCCCTTTCTTCCCCGAAATCACTCCCCCAAGCCCCCCCATTCCCCCCCCGCCCAAGCGCACTCACCCCCCAAGGCCCCCCCGCCACCCCCGCCCCCCTTGGCCTCCCCCTCAACCTGTCCCCCAGCCCCAGCCCCCCAAACATCCTCCTCCTCCCACCCGCAAGCCCCCCACTCCTCCACACCCTCCCCCCAAACCGCCTGTTGCTCCTCCGCCACTCGCCCCTTCCCCCGCCCCTGCCCCAAGCCCTTCCCCCGCCGTCTCCCCCTCCCCAGGCCCTTCCCCCTCGTCTGCACCGGCTCCCACCCCTGCTTCCTCCCCTTCCCCTGCTCCCGCCTCCTCCCCTTCCCCTGCTCCCACCTCCTCCCCTTCCCCTGCTCCCACCCCCTCCCCATCCCATTCCCCTGCCCCTGCTCCTGCTCCCCTTCTCCCTCCTCCTCTTGCTCCACCGCCCACTTCCCCCACTCCCACTCCTTCCCAAGCACCCTCTCCTCTCCCCACTCCTCTTTCTCCTCCTCCCACTCCTCCCTCCAACTCTTCACCACCACCACCATCACCACCTCTCGACTCGTCTGGAAACTTAGATGTATCCTCTTCCCCCGCACCTCCTCCGCCCACTACAAGCACCAACCCCTATAGTAACAACAACCTGGCCTGGTGGCAGCTGCTGGCGCTATGTGCTGCCTCGTTATTAGCAACTCTGCTCTTTGCAGCGCTCTTCACATTCGGCTGTCCTTATCTGTGCGGCATGGCAGCCCGCGCGAAGCATAGGTATAAAGGGGTGCCTACTAACGAGGACACGGCTCTGAAAGCAGAAGCTGATGCAGCAGCTGCGGCGGCAGCAGCGGGGGCGGCAGGCGGGGCAGGAGCAGGGGCTTATAGCGGGCCATACAGTAACGAGTATGGAATGGAGGGTACAGAGGGAGGAGGAGGAACGGGAGGAGAAGGAACAACAGGAACAGGAGGAGAAGGGGAGGGAGCAGCACTGATAGGACCAGCAGCAGCTGCAGGTGCAGTTGGTATAGGCACCGCTGCTGCTGCAACAGCAGCCGCCACGCGCTCAAAATCAACAGAAGGATCAGGCGAGGATGACTCTAACGAGGATATAGCCATAGCTGCCATCGCAGGAGCAGGAGCAGCAGGGGGGGGGACAGGGGCGGAGGGCAGCTCGTCACTGGTAACCATGTTTGACGGGCGGTCGGTGCGGGCATCCGCGTTACTAGCTGCCACGGACGAGTTTGGCGCGAGCAAGATGATCACGCGGGGGCCGGGGCCGAGCGGGAGCACGGCGTTTGTGGCGGACATGCTGGCGGATGGCCCCATGCTCGTGGCGAAGCTGCTGCCCACCGTCACGGAGCAAGGCGAGGATGGGGAGGAATTTCCCGTGCCCATGAATCTGAACATGGAGGTGAGTGGAGAAGGCAGGTGGGGCCGAGTGGCAGCACAGCGTTTGTGGCGGACATGCTGGCGGATGGACCCATGTTGGTGGCTAAGCTACTGCCGACTGTTACAGAGCAAGGCGAGGATGGGGAGGAGTTTCCCGTGCCTATGAACCTCAACATGGAGGTGAGTGTGGTGCCTGAGAGCCTACAAGTCTGGACTTTAGACATGCAGGCGGATGGGATGGGATGGGATGGGATGGGATGGGATGGGATGGGATGGGATGGGATGGGATGGGATGGGATGGGATGGGATGGGATGGGATGGGATGGGATGGGATGGGATGGGATGGGATGGGATGGGATGGGATGGGATGGGATGGGATGGGCCCATGCTCGTGGCGAAGCTGTTACCTACGGTGACCGAACAAGGCGAGGATGGGGAGGAGTTTCCCGTGCCTATGAGCCTCAACATGGAGGTGAGTGCAGATATCAGGCTGGTGGGGCCCCAACCGTTGGGGGAAGGGGGGCCGTGGCCGAGTGGCAGCACGGCGTTCGTGGCAGACATGCTGGCGGATGGACCCATGCTCGTGGCAAAGCTGCTACCGACGGTGACTGAACAAGGGGAGGAGGGAGAGGAGTTTCCCGTGCCCATGAACCTGAATATGGAGGTGAGTGTGGTGCCCATGAGCCTATGCGTCTAGCTTGTGGCAGACATGCTGGCGGATGGCCCCTTGCTCGTGGCCAAGCTACTGCCCACTGTTACTGAGCAAGGGGAGGACGGGGAGGAGTTTCCCGTCCCCATGAACCTGAATATGGAGGTGAGTGTGGTGACTAAGAGCCCAAGGGCCAAAGAGTCTTGAGTCTGAACATGAAGCTGCTGCCCACTGTCACGGAGCAAGGGGAGGATGGGGAGGAGTTCTTCCCCGGTGCCCATAAGCCTCAACATGGAGGTGGGTCTGGTACCAATGAGCATTGCTGCTCCTGTAGGGTGTTTTTGAGAATTCTTAAAAACACCCTACAGCAACACGGAGGTGAGTCTGGTACCAATGAGCATTGCTGCTCCTGCAGCCGCCACCGCCGCCGCCGCCGCCGCCGCCGCTGCTGCTGCTGCTGCCATTCACCACTTGAAAGCATTGCTAGCTGCATCACCTAACCACGAGTTTTTTTTCCCTTGTCCGCGCGCACATTCCATCACCCTCCAGGAGATGCGGGCGCTGGCGGAGATCGACCACCCGAACGTGCTCATAATCCCGAACCGCATCCAAAGTTCATCACCCCATCACCACATGACCCACATGCCCATCACCCACCAGGAAATGCGCGCGCTGGCGGAGATCGACCACCCGAACGTGCTGCCGCTGCTGGGGTGCTGGGAGGATGAGATCACCGGCAGGCGCGTGCTGCTGTACGAGCTCATGCCCAATGGGGACCTCAACGACTTCCTGTACGATGAGGTGAGACTGTGGTGTGATGATGAGAGCACAGGCTGGGATGTGCTGGGGTGCTGGGAGGATGAGATGAGATCACCGGCAGGCGCGTGCTGCTGTATGAGCTCTTGTCATTCCTTCCTCCCGCTCTGCTCTCCTGTCTCACGTTGCTCTGAGCCCAGGGAGTGGCGCATCTGTACACGCTCTCTCTCCCGCGCCCACCAGGCTCCCAACTCGCGCCCGACCCACACAGATTGTTTCACCCCTCACACCCCTCCTCACATCCCGTCTGCTCCGTTCCCTCTTTTCTTTCCGCTCACATTTCTTCTATTCCTCTCTCCTTTCCCTTTCTACCACAGGAACTTTCCTAGAACTCACTCACCTGGGATGCCAGGAGGCGCGTGGCTCTCGGCATAGCTCAGGGAGTGGCGCATCTGCACACGCTCTCTCTCCCTCTCCCGCCTGGCTCCCAGCTCGCCCCCGACCCCCTCGTGCACGGGTTGTTCCACCCTTCACATCCCGTCTTCTCCGTCCCCTCCTCCCGTTCCACTCTCCTTTCTCTGTTCATTGCAGGAGCTTTCTGAAAATTCTCTAACATGGGATGCCAGGAGACGAGTGGCTCTCGGCATAGCCCAGGGAGTGGCGCATCTGCACACGCTCTCTCTCCCTCTCCCGCCTGGCTCCCAGCTCGCCCCCGACCCGCTCGTGCACGGGTCGCTGCACCCGGGGAACATTCTGCTGGGGGACGATGGGGAGGCGAAGCTGACTGACACTGCTGGGGCGCGCGTAGCCTTTGACTCCGATGATGTGCACGTGGCTCCAGAAACGTTGGGATACACGCCACCTGGTGAGTGCTTGTTGATGGGAGAAATGGTCCCTCCCTCTTGCCCCTACCCCCTCCCTTCCTTTCCAGAGTATGTCAGGCCCCACAACAGCCACACCAGAGGGAGACGTGTTCAGCTTTGGAGTCGTGCTGCTAACCGGCCACTGGCCGCTAAAACCGTGGTTTGCAGAGAGCCTCTTGCCCCTACCCCCTCCCCCCCTTTCCAGAGTACATGTCAGGCCCCACAACAGCCACACCAGAGGGCGATGTGTTCAACTTAGGAGTCGTTCTTCTCGAATTGCTCACAGGGAGGCCGCCTCTCGACCGTGGTTTGCGGAGAACGAGCTGGGGGACGTGATAGGGTGGGTGAACGTGTGCGTGGAGGAGGGGGCCGCAGGCAACAAAGCTCACTCCCTCCCTGTCCCTGCCCCCTTCCCCCTTCCCCTTTCCCTCCCTCCGTAACCCCCCCTCTTCCCCCCCCCCCCCAGAGTACATGTCCGGGCCCACAACGGCCACCCCAGAAGGCGACGTGTTCAGCTGCGGAGTGGTGTTGCTTGAATTGTTGACAGGGAGGCCGCCCCTAGATCCGTGGTTTGCGGAGAACGAGCTGGGGGACGTGATCGGGTGGGTGAACGTGTGTGTGGAGGAGGGGGCGGCAAGCAGCAAAGCTCACTCCCTCCCTGCCCCTTCACCCTTCCCCCTTCCCTCCCATCCCTCGTCTCCCTCCCTGCATTCCCCTTTTATGCGCCCCCCCCCCTCCCCAGAGTACATGTCAGGCCCTACAACAGCCACCCCAGAAGGCGACGTGTTCAGCTTCGGCGTGGTTCTCTTGGAGCTTCTAACAGGACGCCCGCCGCTCGACCCGTGGTTTGCGGAGAACGAGTTGGGGGACGTGATTGGGTGGGTGAACGTGTGTGTGGAGGAGGGGGCGGCGGGGGACGTGTTGGATCCGCGTGTGGCGGATATAGCAGAGTGTGAGGGTGAGATGCTGGAGGTGCTAAAGATTGCGCTCGTGTGTGTGGGGGAGGAGGCGGAGGAGCGACCGTCCATGGCTGATATAGTGTCGATGCTGGAGAGAGTGGGGGATGAGGAGAGTGGGTAGGAGGGCCCCTGCTAGCAGAGCAGCAGGGAGGAGAGCACAGGGGAGGGCAGGGGGAGGGCAGGGGGAGGGCAGGAGGAGGGCAGGAGGAGGGCAGGAGGAGGGCAGGGGGAGGAGCAGAGGGGGCGGCGGGGGACGTGTTGGATCTGCTGTGTGGCGGATATAGCGGAGTGTGAGGGCGAGATGCTGGCGGAGGGCAGGAGGAGGGCTGGAGGAAGGCAGGAGGAGGGCTGGAGGAAGGCAGGAGGAGGGCTGGAGGAAGGCAGGACATAGAGTGGTGGATATAGTGGAGTGTGAAGGCGAGATGCTGGAGGTTCTTAAGATTGCGCTCATTTGTGTGGGCGAGGAGGCGAAGGATATGAGGGGGGTAGTACGCAGGATGGGCGTGGGAAGAATGGGTGGTGTGTGTGGTGAGGAGGGACGTGAGGGCTGGGTCCTTTGTCTGTGTGTGTGCAGTGGTATGCCGTGGTAGCAGCAGTGAGAGGGCAGATGAGGTGTGGCTGCTGCTGTAAGAACTCCAACTCTTGCAGCTGACCTGTAGAGCAAGCGACACTGGCAGCAGTCAACACGAGTTTGTGGTAAAACCGCCTGCAGTGCTGCCAGAATGAACACGAGTTTTGGTGGCATCAGCAGCCGTCAACTAACAACTGCGGCTGTGTGTGGCTTCACCACCGGCAGCAGTGCCTTTTATTAGGGCATTCATCCCAACACCCTTATTATACTGCACTTCAGCAGCAGCAGTAGCTTTAGTACGGGAGGCATAGCATGCTGCATTTTTCTCCTGACTTGGCTTTACTAGCATGCACGAGTTGTGCAGTGTGCCACATGGCATAGCTAGCATGTACGAGTTGTGCAGTGTGCCACACGGCACATTGCCATGCTTCTTGGAACATCATACGGTACGAAGGGGCACAACCTTCCATGACCTAGCTGCTGGACCAACAAGTGAAACAGATAAAATGAAACCTTACACCTCTATTTCACCAATATTTACAGCACTCCCACCCACCCATATCACCACTCCTACCCTACCAATATTTACACCAGTGGTATGGCTCGTTTCCTGGAACTAGCTAGCACCATCCTGGAATTACGCCGCTTTGTGAAGGGTCAAGCTAGCTCGTAAATGAACGAAGTCTCTTTCACATGCTGGTCACCAGAATTCACCTTCTTTCGCCAAGCTTCTGTCCACTTCTGCACACAAACGAGCCATCACGTGGCAGGTGACAGGGGAAACCGTGAAGCAAGAAAGGAAGAAAAGAAAGAAGAAAAATGAGCATAACACCTGCATACACACAGGAGTTTTCTCCAAGACCCAAACAATAACATAAAGCGACACAACAATAAGGAGAATCGCATGCAAGAACAACAGCTGGCGAGGCCAATTACGGTACCTCTTCCGCTTCTTCTCTTCGTATTTCTGCCAAGCCCCACACGACGGCAGTGAGGCAACATAGCGGCAAAGAAAGCATCCAAGCACTGCTGGCGGAGATGAAATTCAGCGGAAGTCCACCATTCCAGTTCTTCTATTACGCTTGCAAAAAACATAGAATTGATATTAATGAGTTGGTACTAACATGAATCGCGTAAGAAGTGCCGACTGTCACCACGGCGACCGCAGAAGCCATGCCAAGAGTAGCAGTCGCCACGTTCCACCGGCGAACACTATTAGGCATGAGGGTCGGCATTCTCAAGGTTTTAATCGCGCTTCGCTAATGCAGAAACAATCCTTTAAACGAACTCGCAATCGAAAGCCGCAACTATTGGGTGCGAGTGAAGGGAATAAGGTTTGGAAAAGCGAGGTAGCTGAAACTGAAATAGGAGGCACTGATGGCGAATCTGAGCATGTGTGAAGCGCTAGGGGATGGTGAATTTGTGTGCAATTCCCTTCCAAATGTGACGAGAGAGGGAAACGAAGCGAAACGAAGCGAACAGAGGGAAGGAGAACCGGCGAAGTTCTCGGGCAGAGAAACTGGAGTGAAAAAGAGCAGATTATGTTTGAAGATTATTCGGGTATTCTGGTGGTTGGTTGGCAGCACTCTTGGCAGGTGACTTCATTTTGGCAAGTCCCAGCGGCCGAGGTCGGACATTACCATTACTAATTTTCTGCCCGTAAGTCTGCAGCCTCGGGACCACGTGACGGAAGTTGATACGAAAGCGCATGGCTGATTCCACGTCACCAGCAATTCGTGCTGAGCCGTGCGGCGAAAACTTCACGTGTCGTATGGAGCTCGTCCACCTCACGCGGTCCCCAGCACGACGCACCGCGATGCGGCCCGCAAAAGCACGCAATTTTGCAATGCATTGCGCAAATGCAATGAAGCATGAACAAACAAATCTCACCAACCCCAACATACCAGCTTCGTGTCGGAACCGTTTCTATTCAATATTAAACCGATTGGGAACTAAAAGGACGATTGCGTGTGACGTGCTAGAACCTTTCCCCGACCACTTGCATGCTTTTGCACGCCCATTTGCAACTCAAGGACCTTTCAACTATAATCGCTGACACACCAGAGACGCCCATCTTTCGCTCACACAGGCAGGAATAATCGAAGCGTACGACGGTGAAGCACGCACTTGCTGCAGAGAAAGCGTCTAAGATGAGAAGCGTTAGAGTTTGTGTTAGCTTTAGCGTGACAAGAGCACGCGCTCTCTGGCGCTTTCCTCTGCTTCAGCGCACGTCAGCTCCGCTTGCATGCCAAGGAGACCCCTTTCCTCTCACGACCACTTTCCCGCCACGCCCCTTACCTCTCTCCATTGCATGTTCCCATGCACGGCCGTCTCAACGCCGTCTCGAGGCGCCAGAAGAACCATCAACTTAATTTGATGTTTCAAGAATGGCCGAGGCGGCCTTCTTTCTCACGTCTGCACCCGCTGCCGCACCTCCCCCCGAGATGCAGCATCTTCTTGCGCATGTTACTGTTATTCTCTTCTCGCCGCTCCCTGATCCCTGCTTTCTCCCAGCCATGAGATATCTCCTCTTGATAACGCCCATCATCCCCGCGAGGCTCATGCGTTCAGTCGCCTCAAAAACTGCAGTTCAGATTTCTCCTGGCACGAAATCTTCTACTTGGAAGGCCCACCCATCCCGCTCGTCTCTCGGATCGGTTAGCCTTCGCAAACAGTGTCAGTTCAGGGCTTCTGTACTAACCCCGTCGAACAGTTTCTGATCCTCTGCACAACCCGCATTTTGAGTCAACTTAGTAGGCTCTGCAAAATCCGTCGCCATGACGAAGCTCTCCTCTCACGCCTTCGCGTCGTCGCTAGCCCGCCAGGTCGCTCGTTTCTTCGCAGCGTCATCGCACCAAGCAGAAGCGGCGACGGCGGGTGTGACAGCGGGTGCGGCGGCGGGTGCGGCGGCGGCGTCTTCGCCGGTTCCCAAGCAGCAGATGTTACGCGCCACGGCGGCGACTTTTCAATGCAAAGAGCTCCGTGAGAGCTCGTCTGCACGCAGCAGCGGCGTTTTGCGTTCGATTCATGGCCAGGTGAACGCGCAACTGCCGTCGCAGCCGCCGCCGCCGCCGCTGGCGCCGGCGCCACAGCAGCAGCGGCAGCAGACTTCCTTCACTCGCATCGGCGCGACGAGCTGCCCTGTTACCGCTCGAGGCGTCGCCTCGGATGCTGCGGCGCAGAAAACGGCGAGCGGGGCAGGGGAGGAGCGGGCGCCGCCGACGAAGGAGTGGCATTTGGTGCCGCTGGGTTACCGCCCCGCGCACGCCGTGGCTCTGCAGGAGCGCATCGAGGAGATGTGGGAGTCGCGCGTCGGGCGGGAGGCGCGGGAGGGAGAGGAAGGGAGGGTGGAAGGGATGGAGAGGAGGGGCGAGGGAGCGGAGGAGAGCGGCAAGGAGGAGGAGCGGCGCGAGCTGGAGGCGCTGAACTGGGCGTTCAGTCAGCTGCCCGTGTCGGTGTTTCCATGCCAGCACAAAGGTTCGTCCACTTACAATCTTACAACTTCTGAGGCGTCTCAGAGCGTTTATTAAGGTGCTGGGCGTCCGTGTTCAAAGGTTAGCTACTGCGTGCTCCCATCTCTGCCTCCATGGGCTTCAAAGTGTGCCCCGCACGCATACTGTGCCAAGATTCCGTATGCTCCTCTGGTCTCATGGCGCGAGCTGGAGGCGTTGAACTGGGCGTTCAGTCAGCTGCCTGTGACTGTGTTACCGAGCCTGCATACAGGTTCTCCAATCTTCTTACCATCATACTTATGCTCCTGTACGCTTTTATACGTTCGTGTGCACTCCTGAACGCTCCTGTGCACCCTTATACTCCCACATGCTTACATCCATTACCATAAGCCTCTCAACTTCCTCCTGTGCTGTACCTGGCCTTCCTCTCTTTCCCTGCCAATCCCTCCACTTCTCTTCCCGTCCCTCCCTTCCCCTCCCCTCTCTCCTCCCCCCCAGTGCTCGAGGTCCCCTCCAACGCCCGTCTATCGGACGCTCTGCGCATGCTGCAGTATGCAGGTCTCACAGCAGCGCCAGTCAGGGACGTGGGGGTGGGTGGGGCACGAGGGGGCACACATATTCCTTCTCTGTCCTGCTCTTGCCCTCCCCGTCCCCGCAGTGCTCGAGGTCCCCTCCAACGCCCGTCTGTCGGACGCTCTTCGACTGCTGCAGCATGCGGGCCTCACAGCGGCGCCAGTCAGGGACGCGGGCGTTGGGGACGACGCACCCTTGCAGCAGCGGTACCTGGGGATGGTGGATGGCGCGGGCATCGTCCTGTGGGTCATGGGGCAGGTGAGGCGTGAGGTAGGTGATGCATGGGTGGGTAGGGGAAGATCAACTAGGGGTAGGTAGGTACTAGAACAGGTGCACGTGGACGTGGGGGGCGATGCACCTCTGCAGCAGCGGTACCTGGGCTGGGTATGGTGGATGGTGCGGGGATCGTTCTATGGGTCATGGGGCAGGTGAGGCATGGGGCAGGTGAGGCATGGGGCAGGTGAGGCATGGGGCAGGTGAGGCATGGGGCAGGGGGGTCGTAGGCAGGTGAGAGGCAGGTGTGGGACATGTGTACCCGTGCGGCCCTTCACTCACTGCCTTCCTATGAAACCCCCCTCCACCCTCCCTCCTCTACAGCTCAACCAATCTTCCATAGAGGTCCGCATGGCGGCAGCAGCAGGAGGGGGACTGGCAGGAATGGCGTTTGGAGGGCTGGGGGCAGCAGCACTGGGCGCGCCAGGTGTTGCCACGTTGGCAGCCATGTGGGCGGGATCGATGGCGGGAGGTCTGCTGGGCGCCACGTCAGCAGAGGCGCCGGGGGAGTTGGAGGCGGGGGGAGGGGTGGAGCGATTGAGGGTGTCTGCAGGGGGGCTGGATCGGCTGTTGCAGGGGAATCTGTTTCAAACTGCTAAGGTAAGCGTAACATTTGGGGGTTGGGGGGGAGGAAGTGAAGGGGAAGTTGGGAATGGAGGGGCAAGGGTGAGGGGTAGAGGGAGTGAGGGTGTCTGCAGGAAGGTTGGATCGTCTGCTGCAGAAACTGCAAAGGTAAGGCTTGGGGGCGGCATGGGCGATGCGCGGACATGGGGGAGGGGTGGAACGACTGAGGGTGTCTGCAGGGGGTCTGGATCCTTCCGAGCCCTTTCTCATTCCCGTTTGGTCTCCACGACCCAGCGTCCAACCCCGCCCCCCTTTTCCCCGTAGTTTTCCTTCTCTTCCTGTGTCCGTGTCGACTCAGAAGCACCCCCTCTCGTCTTCTGCCCTAACATGTCTCTGACCTGGAGGGGTCTTTCCGCCCCTGAGTGCTCCCCGTCCTCACCTACGCTTTCACCTTCCTCTCTTCCTCCCATCTGAGTTGACTCAACCTCCCCCTCTCCCCCCACTTTCCCCCTGTTTTCACCCTGTGCCGCCTCTCACATGTGTCAGACCTGGAGGGTTCCTTCCGCTGGCGCTCCTTTCTGCCCCACTCCTCCGACTCTGTTCTCTCCCTCATGCTACTTCCCTCACCCTCTGTTCCGTCCAACCCTTCACCTCCCTCAAAGGTGTCTGACCTTGTGGGTTCGTTCCGCTGGCGCTCCTTCCTGCCTCTTTCCTCCTCCGATTCAGTCCTCTCCCTCATGCTGCTCCTTGCCATGCCCCACCGCCCCCAAGTCCTCCCCATCGTCACCTACCCTTCCACCTCCTCCTCTCCCTTCTCCTCCCCCTCCTCCGCCTCTCCCGCCTCCTCTTCCTCATTTTCCTCATCTCCCGAGCCTGCAGCTGCAGCTTCGTCAGCAGGCTCGGGGTCCACCCCGGTGCCAAGCCTGTCAGCTCTGGTGTCGCAGGCAGATGTGGTGAATTTCCTGGCGGAGTGTGACGGGCAGCCGTGGTTCGAGTGGGTGGCGGGGAGGAGTCTGCAGGACATGGGGCTGCCAAGAATGGGTGCAGGATCGACTGTGAAGGTGAGACTGGTCAAGGCTCTTGGAGTGTGACCGTAGCCGTGGTTTAAGTGGGTCGTGGAGAGGAGTTTGAAAGACATGGGGCTGCCAAGAATGGGTGCAGAATCGACTGTGAAGGTGAGACTGGTCAAGGCTCTTGGATTGTGACGGGCAGCCGTGGGTGGCGGGGAGGAGTCTGCAGGTCATGGGGCTGCCAAGAATGGGTGCAGAATCGACTGTGAAGGTGAGACTGGGGGTCGGTCTGGGAGTGTGAGTGAAACAAAACTGGTGTTAGGGGTGTGGACTGCTGTTGCTCTGTTTCACAACAGCAAGAAGTACAAAACTAAAGGCAATGTGCCAGCCGGGAATCGAACCCGGGTCTGCACCGAGCTGATGGCAGGGTGCTATTCTACCACTAGACCACTGGCACTGATCAGATGTAGTTAAGGATTCTTGCGTCATACCCGACCGCTACGCAATAACTGACATGCTGTGATTACTGCCTGTTGGTAATCACGACAACAGCTGAATGACAGCACGCTGATAGCAGAAGGATGGGTAGCTTGGCTGAGTTTGAAGAGTCAATGCCACGATGTTTGAGTCACTCACACACGACGGCACCAACAGCACTTGCTTCTTGAGTCACTTTTGAGACGTCAAAAGTGCAAGCCATCCCAATCATAATGTGGTGGACTTTTAGGGATGGAGATGCATGGGGCTGCTGAGAAAGACGGCGGAATTAGTGGTTCAGGAGAGGGACATGTGAGATGCAAAGGCTAACATGGGTGACAGGTAGGAGCAAGTAAAGGGCCTAGGGACTTTGAATCATAGATGACAGACAGCCTTAGCCTACATTGGGGGGAGAAGAGGCGTTTATGGCGCCAAGGAATGGACGGCAAGGGATGAGAGTGGAGTAAGTGGCCACTTAGGTGAGAGCATGGCTTTAAGGGTGGGTGCTAAACCCTGGGTGTGCAGGTGGCAGAGAATGGGGGCTGATATAATAGAGTATGGGATTTCGCTGTATGGAATGCTGATTGGGCTGAGCCAAGCAGAGAAGAAAGATCTGGGAGATGAGGGTGTTATGGGTGGGTTGGTGCATCCAGGAAATGGGGGTGTCATGTGTGAGTTGGTGCATCCGGGAAATGGGGGTGTCAAAGTGTGAGTTGGTGCATGCTATGCAAGGTGTAATGCGGTGAAGTGTGGTGATGATGAGACCATCTCTTGGAAGGGGTGGTGATGATGAGACCATCTCTTGGAAGGGGTGGTGATGATGAGACCATCTCTGGGAAGGGGTGGTGATGATGAGACCATCTCTTGGAAGGGTGGTGATGATGAGACCATCTCTGTGAAGGGGTGGTGATTGTTAGACCAGTTTGGGAAGGGGTGGTGATGTTGAGACCAGGTTTGGGAAAGTGTGGTGATGGTGAGACCAGGTGTGGTAATGGTGAGACCAGGTGTGGTAATGGTGAGACCAGGTGTGGTAATGGTGAGACCAGGTTGGGAAAGCGTGCAAAGCGTGGGTGGGAGGAAGGTATGATTTAAGATATTATTTGGGAGGAATGAGATCGGTCTTCAAAGCTCATCTTCCTAGTGTGAGGCAGGTGTCAGTAAGGATAGCGTTGCCAATGGGTTTTCTTGGGCATCCCATGGGATGGTCCAGATTGAGGCAAAAGAGGAAAAGGTCATGTGCCAGCCGGGAATCGAACCCGGGTCTGCACCGTGCTGATGGCAGGGTGCTATTCTACCACTAGACCACTGGCACTAGGCAGATGTTCTGCTGGTTGAGTGTCAAGATTCTAGAAGTTTTCTAAGACACTAGTGCGGTTAGGTGCTTCTTTGAGTTTCTTCTCTTTTGTACGCGTTTTGATTGCAGGTGGAGGAGTCAGACCCGGTAATGGAACCTTTTCGTCTGATGCTGCAGCATGGCATTGGTGGAAGGTCTTTGGTGGCGCCGAGGACCAATCGCATGTTACAATCCTTACCACGGTCCTTCCAGCCCTTCATGCATGCCTGAAAGTGTTTTTTCCCTTCTGTACGCGTTATGGTGGCAGGTGGAGGAGTCAGACCCGGTAATGGAGCCGTTCCGTCTGATGCTGCAGCATGACATTGGTGGAGTGCCTGTGGTGGTACCGGGGACCAATCGCATTACGGCAAATGTCAGCGCGAGGGATGTTCTGCAGCTGCTGACGTCACCGCACCTTGCAGAGCAACACCACCTCAAGTGCGGTGCTGCCGTTTTGTCCCCTGTCCATTGCAGTGCGGCCATTTTGCATTTTCTCTGTACTTTTCTGCAGCTTCTGTAATTGTCAGTGTTCTTTCCCTTATTAGCTTATTCCTCCATTCTATCTGCATTCAAAACCTTTCCCCTTTCAACCCTTGCCCCTACCCATCCCGTCCCCAGGCCGCCGCTCACAGTGGCAGATTTGATGCATGAAGAATCGCACATTCACATGTTCTCCTCCCCTCTGTTCCCCCCCGCTCCCCCTTCCCCCCCCCTCCCCCAGGCAGCTCACAGTGGCATATCTGGTGTACGCCGCGCAGCAGTCCCGCCCCCCACCTCTTCCCATCTCGCATTCCATCCCCGCCCACCCCCCCTTTCTCCCCACCCCCCCCTTTCTCCCCATCCCCCCCTTTCTCCCCATCCCCCCCTTTCTCCCCACCCCCCCAGGCCGCTCACTGTGGCGAATCTGGTGTACGACGGGCGGCATGGTTAGTTTTAAGCCTTTTCATCCATATCCTCTGGGTTCTTCCCTCCCCTCTCCACCCCACCCTTCCTTCCCTCCTGCCCCCTTCCCCCCCCAGGCCGCTCTCGGTGGTGGACTTGGTGCGTGATGCCCACCGAGCTCAGCGTCTTCTCTCTTCCCCGCCGGCTCTCCTCTCTCCCCCACCCCCTCCTCTCTCTCCCTTTCCCGAGGTGACTTTTGAGTCGACTCAAGAGTCACCTTTTGAGTCGACTCAAAAGCTCTCCTCTCTCCCCCACCCCCTCCTCTCTCTCCCTTTCCCCCCTACCTCTCCCCCCCCAGGCCGCTCACGGTGGCAGATCTGGTGCACGATGCGCAGCGGCCGCAACACGGCGCTGCTGACGTCATTTGGCCAATCATGGTGCCGCCCGTGACGTGCCACCCGTCCACGCCACTGCGCGAGGTGATCCACGCGTTCCGGGTGGCACGCGTGCACCGCATCTACGTCACACGGGAGCCGGACGAGGGGGAGGGAGGAGGCGTGCAGGGAGGAGAGCTGCTGGGAGTGGTGACACTGCGGGATGCGATTGGGCGATTCCTGGTGCGGCAGGAGGAGGAAAGCGAGGGCAAGAGTGAAGAGAAGGGGCCAGCTCCGACCACCACTGAAGTTGGCTCGGATGGTCTCAGCCTGTAGTTGGCAAAGGGGTTTAGCGAAACAAGGTGGATGGTCCACGCGTTCCGGGTGGCACGCGTTCACCGCATCTACGTCACCTGGGAGGAGGGAGAGGGAGGAGGCGTGCTAGCAGGAGAGCTGCTGGGAGTGGTGACACTGCGGGATGCGATTGGGCGGTTTCTGGTACGGCAGGAGGAGGAGGAGGGAGAGACGACGGGAGAGAAGGTAGAGGAGCTGGTGCCAGCCAGCACTGAGGTTGGCTCTGATGGTCTCAGCCTGTAGTGGGAGGGGATGGTGTTGGTGATAGTTGGGATGTCACTGCGCGAGGTTATCCGCGCATTCCGGGTGGCACGCGTGCACCGCATCTACGTCACACGGGAGGAAGGGGAAGGAGGAGAGCTGGTGGGAGTGGTGATGTTGCGTGATGCAATTGGGAGGTTTTTGGTTTGGCAGGAGGAGGAAGGGTTGAGTGGGGAGAGTGGGGAGAAGGAGGGGCCATTTCCGACCAGCTCTGAGGTTGGCTCAAATGATCTCAGCCTGTAGTGGGGTTTGATTGGTTGGTCAGCTGCCGGTTTGGCTCACTCCCTGCTGCTGCTGCTGGCCTGGGTGTTGTCGTCCTGTTGCCACATACGGTCTGTGGCCCGCCCAAGGTTGCAGGAGGTAACAGAGGAAAGCGAGGGGAGGAGAAGGAAGGGGAGGAATGGGAGGGAGCAGAGATGGCAGGCATGCAAGCATTCTTTGTACATACGGTACGTTTTGGCATCCTTGGATTTTCCTAAGATGAAGTCTGTCAGATTTTGTTCTTTCCCCAGGAGGATCCTGTACAATTTGAACATGCATATGTTCTCGTCCTTTGTGCCACGAATCTCATTGCATTCATCCATTTAGCATGAAAGAAATGGCTGCTGTTCAGGAACTATTGAAGAGATCACATCACGGTGCCATGATGAGAGCAGCATAAGTAGCACCATACGCAAAGCTACACATACATTAGAATACTACAGCCAAATGTCTCTCATGCTAATGCAGCTTGCATAGAATAGAAGGTAGTGCTCTGTGACCCAGAACCAGCTCCCTTGCAGGAGAGGAAATGGATAACTCCAACGGAAAAACACGACTCTAGCCACCCCAACTTTCCACACCACGATTTCCACCCAGCCCCAAAATCCGCGTCTGCCTCCTCCGCCTGTCGCCTGCATCACTAGACCTACCAAACCTAAGCAAGTGAAGTGACCAAGCTACGTCTTGCAGATGGTAAATTGGAATCCTTCAGACTGTTCCATGCGGTGGCATTTATGGGACTCTCAGGCCCCAGGACTCTTCCGTTTTACAACCGGTGCTCTTTTTGCAGCACCAGTCAGACGCACGCGGGTTCAGACTGGGTTCGTTCAACCTCGTTACAGCCTGCTCACATGACACTGTCCTGTGATGGAAACGGGGGCTTTAAGTGTGACCACTTTTGGAAAAGACTGCATGGGCAGGAGCAGCAGTATGAGCAGCAGCAGCACTCAGCAGGGCGCACGATTCTGCCGATTGCCATGGAATTCACTCGTAGAGCCCCTCTCAGCCGGACCTATCCTGTCATAGATTGCACCACTTGAACGGATCCAACGCTTCCCCTCTCTTGCGGACTGCAGGGTGGGAAAACATGGCACAGGGGGAATAGTGGGGAATATGCGTGAGATGCCATGGAGGGAAGGGGCGGATAGGTATGAGATGGCACAAGGGGAAAAAGAGGGATATTTGTGAGATGACACAAGGACAGTAAGTGTGAGGTGCCACAAGAGGGGGGGGTGAGTGTGAGGAGCCACAGGGGGGGAGGGGGGGAAGGATGAGGTGTCACAGTGAAGGGAGGGAGCGGAGAAGTGTGAGATGGCGAAAAGTGACACGAGGGGGAGGTGCTTACCTTCAGAGTGCTTGAGTCTACTAAAACAGTAGACAGCAGGGAAGGGTGGTGGGGAAACAGGCCAATGGTCCTTCAAAATACAAGTGCAGGCCTGTGGCTTGTCCGGTTGTCCCCACACCCGAGCGAGGAAGATAGGGTGGAAGGGGAGAGAGAAAAATTCAGAGGAGGGTGGGGGAAAACAGGACAATGGTGCGCTTACCTTCAAAGTGCAAGTGCGGGCCGGTGGCTCGTCCGGTTGCTCCCACACACGCCACCTGCTGCCCCCTTGCCACTCGCTGCAATGGCCATGCATGCACACACACATGCACACACACAGACACATGAATCACACATGACACACACACACATACACAAACACACACACACACGCAGCCACACAACATTCATAACATGCACACACACACGCATACATGCATACACAATGTGTGTAACATGCACACAGACGGAGGAAGACTAAAGGGTGAGAGGGTAGATGTCAAGTGGCCAACTTCATAGCTAGCAAGCTAGCAAACAGGCCACCTCAAAACCCCCCTTGAGGCAGCCCCACTTGAAGCAACCCCACTTGCAGCAGCCCCACTTGAAGCAGCCCCACTTGCAGCAGCCCCAGTTGCAGCAGCCCCACTTGCAGCAGCCCCACTTGCAGCAGCCCCACTTGAAGCAGCCCCACTTGCAGCAGCCCCACTTGCAGCAGCCCCACTTGCAGCAGCCCCACTTGCAGCAGCCCCACTTGCAGCAGCCCCACTTGCAGCAGCCCCACTTGCAGCAGCCCCACTTGCAGCAGCCCCAGCTCACTACACGTTGCTGCATGCCATGCCATGGCACGTCACCTCACTGCGCAATTCTACACAGCATCACCAACACGACCCCCGCATTCTCAAAAGCCAGCACACACCTGCCCAACCCGTGCATTGATGATGCAGCAGTGGCCATAACGAGTGGTGAAACCGTTGTCGTGTGCTATCGTCACCAGCTTGCCGTACCTGGAGAGATGCGGGCAGACGAAACATGGGAACGGGAGGGAATGGACACGTTTTTTAGGCGCCTCTGAAGCGTTGATGATGCAGCAGTGGCCATAGCACGTGGTGAAGCCGTTAGTCGTGTGCTATTGTCACCAGCTTGCCATACCTGGAGGGACGGCAGGGAGGGGGAGAGGAGAGGAGAGGGGAGGGGAGGGAGGGAGGGTAGAGTGAAGCCATTGACATGTGCTATTGTCATCAGCTTGCCATACCTGGAGCAGTGGGAGCAGATGGAACATGCGAAAGGAAGGGGAGGTGAGGAGGAGAGTTATGATGGCAATGCCTCACACACCCACACCCCATTCCACACCCACACTCACCCACACCAACACTCACACCCACACTCACATCCATACACACACATACACACGCACACACAACCACACCCACACACCCACACACACACACACACACACCCACACACACACCCACCACACACACCCACCACACACACACACACACCCCCGCACACCCACCCACCCACACACACACACACACACACACACACACACACACACACACACACAAGCGCGGACTCACCCTCCGCTCCAGCCTGCAAACGTCACGACGCCCTTGTCTGACGCCAGCACTGGAGCCCCAAACTCCGCTGCTAGATCCACGCCCTGTGGGGAAAGAGGGAGGGAGATATGGAGAGGGAGAGGGAAGGAGTGAGGGAGGGAGGGAGGGAGGGAGGGAGGGAGGGAGGGAGGGAGGGAGGGAGGGAGGGAGGGAGGGAGGGAGGGAGGGAGGGAGGGAGGGAGGGAGGGAGGGAGGGAGGGAGAAAGGGAGGAGAGAGTGCGCGGGTGAACAAACAAGATAATGAAACGCCAGTGCGAAGCAGGACGAGGCCTGCGGTGAGCAAGAGGTTTAAGGATGATGGCGACGAGGGTGAGGGTTGAGAATAAGAGTTGAAAATGGCGTGGATCAAAGATAGAGGTTGTAGGAAAGCAGGGCGAGTTGAGCGAGTGCTTTCTCTTTCATCACATCGGGAGACGAGAAGATTAGGAGGAGCAGGAGGCGAGGGAATGAGGAGGAGCGGGAACGGATGGAGGAGGTGTACATGAAACGGAACGGAAATGAGGATGGGGGGAATGGGAATGGAGAGGGGGAGTAGCGGGACTGCTGATGAAGCTGGTGAGGTGACATCCATGTCAAGGAAAAGGCTCAAGATGGTGAGGGACTGATGTCGACTCAAGAAGCAAGGCGTTGCAAGGAGAGAGGAGGGAGGGGGGGGAGGGGGGGAGCATACCTCATGGAAGGATCCCCATCGCCAGCCAAAGGGACTGCTGACGAAGCTGGTGGAGGGGTTGAAGAGGTGACGCGGGAGAGGGCCGGGTGGGGGAGAAAGGAGAGGAGGGGGGCGGGAGGAGGAGGGGGACGGGAGGGCGTGGGTGGGAAAGGGAGAGCTGAATGGGAAAGCCAGCCAGCACGTGAAACAGCAGGACAAACATGCTGGAAAAAACACCGGCATTCCCACAAAATATACCAATACCGACAAAGCCCAGCCAAGTGCCACGCTTTGAATCATTCCCACCCACTCCTGTCTCCCCCCATCCCCTCCCTTCTCCCCACCCATTCCCTTCCCCCCACCCCCTCCCTTCCCCCCATCCCCTCCCTTCCCCCGACCCATTCCCTTCCCCCCACCCCCTCCCTTCCCCCCATCCCCCCTTCCCCCCGACCCACTCCGTTCCCCCCACCCCCTCCCTTCCCCCCACCCCCTCCCTTCCCCCGACCCACTCCGTTCCCCCCACCCCCACCCCTCCCTTCCCCCCTCACCTGCAACGACCCGTCCACCAGGTGAGTTCTGAGTCGACTCAAGAGTCACCCTTCCCACCTCCCCCTTCCCAATCCTCCCTTCCCCTTTCCCCCTCCCCTTTCCCCCTCCCTCTTCCCCCCCCACCTCCCTCCTTTCCCTCCATTCTACACCCACTCTTTTTCCCCTCTCCCGTCCCCAGAACGCACCCGTCCACGACAGGGCAGTTGAATCGCAGCCAGCCGTCCATCGACTTGGGGAAGCCCTTGGGGCCCCGCCTCCACCGCCCTGCGGGTGTGGGGAGAGGCGGGAGAGGAGATGGGGCGGAGGATATGGGGGAAGAGGACGTGGTAAGGGAGATGTGGAAGGCGGCACAGAACAGAAAAAGAAACACAAGACGGAAGAACGATGATGGCATGGCATGCCTGCAAGTAGTTAAGACGACTAAAATGTCACTGCAGGTGAAAGTGGAAACGTGGGCCAAGTGGAGCAACACAGAAACGCACTGCTGGCATGGACTATTCACACAAGCGAGGCAGCAAACAGTCAACGCAGATCGACAAACAGCTCATAAGACAGGCATGGCTAGGAGATTACATTATATAATCACCAACTTGTGGTTTACGAGGCACACCTTCTAACAGAGAAACTCGTCCTCCTGCTGCTGAGCCCGCTTTCACAATGGCGCCTGCTGCCGGACCTCCCACGCCGAGCCTTGCAGGCAGCTTTGGCAAAGTCGATGATGGAGAGAGCCGGGAAAAGAGCGGGCGGCAGGTCCGGCGAATGCCAGGCCTGAGCTCTGGTACGGAACGACGTTGGTTGGCTGAGATGAATAGAGCATAAATTGGGGGCGCGAGGGGAGGAATGAAGGAATGCGTTGTGAGAGGGTGAAAGGGAGGAGGAGAGCGAGATCGAACCCTAACACACTAGAAAAACACGGTTTGGGCATATGGTGATGGGATACGCTGTTAAAATGAAACGTGCCATGTAACATGATTGAAGAAAGTCTTAGGCATGTCCTGCCCGAGACTGTGGAATACACGCCATCACAAAGCACTAACCCCCCTCTCCCCTCCTTCCTTCCCTCGTCATCCCCCTTCACTCCTCGTCCATCTTACCCCATCTCAAATCACCAGGTAGCACTTACAGCATGAGACGATGAGCGTGTCGCCCTCAACAATAAAATCCGACCGAAGGTTGTTCAACCTCTGCAGGTCCCGAATCGACGTGCGGTGGTTCTGGGCAATCTCCGCCAGCGTATCCCCGAACTGCACCTTCACCGTCTTGATGCACATCGGCACGCGCAGCCCCGGCTGCCTCGCCGCGCGCCTCTTAGACGCACCCACGGGCTCGAACATGGGGTTGCGCGACATGGGCGGGTTGACCGCGCGACTGGCCGGGACTAGGGTTCCGTCCATGATCGAGTTTCGCTCCGCCTTGCTTGCCTCTGGCAATTTCTGCACCTTCTTCTTCGCGTCTTTCTTGCCCGCGCCCTTATTTATCCTGCCCCACAACCCCCTGCTGCTGCTGCTGTTGCTCTTTCCCCATCCCCATCTCTCAGTCGCAGCGGGTGCGGGTGCTGGAGCTGGCGCCCTAGCCGCGGGCCTTGGGGCCGGGGCTGCTCTAATAGCGGGAGTGCGGCTATCGGGGCTATAGGTTCTGGCCGCAGTGGCAGCAATGGGCTGCTGCTCCTTCGCAGAGCTAGATGACGCTGCAACTCCTCCCCCGTTAGCTCCTCCAC